GTGAGCTGGGAGTGGACTTCACTACGGCTGGCAAGGGGCAAAAACAGGTGAGAGCCAGGCAGGGCCTGACCTGGGCCCCTGTCCTTCCCTCCGCCATCTGTCCCATGCTCCTGGCAGCTGTCAGCAGGAGGAAGGCTGCCTTCCAGTGAAGCAAGAAGATGGCAGACCTGCAGTGTGGGCTCGATGCCCCACGCCCACTGACAACATCCACTCTGGCAGCAGCTTGATTTTCCAAATAAATGACATATCAGCAATGCGGATTTAAGAAAGGCAAATTATTACAATGACAGCAAATAATGTCCATCTAGCCCTTGCCACGCACCAAGACCCTGTGAAGCAGCCCTTCCACTTGAATGTTCTCAGTTTGTCCTCCTGCTAACTCCCCACTGGTACTGTTATCATTCCATTCTATAGATGAAGTAACTGAGGCCCAGGAAGGCTCAGTGACTCATCCAAGGTTGCATAGCTTGGCAGGGGCACAGCTAGGGTCCCATCTGAAGCGGCCTGCTTTCAAACTGCAGACCTCCAAGGGGACAGGGTACCAGCCACCCTGAGTTGGAACATGGGCAGGGATTGCTGTCTTCAATGATGCCTCCCAGTCCTCCATCCTTCTGAAGTTTCCAGTGCTCCTGAGCTGCCAGGAGAGCCAGGGAGGAGCCCCACAGGCCTAGCTTCCAGGGGCAGCTCTGTGCCACTCACACCTCCCCTTCCAGCAGTTGGCAGCCACTTTTCTGTTCCTGCAGGCCTCTGCCTGTGGTTTCTGGCTTCCCTCCCCTCCAGACTCCTTCCTTAGAAGATTCTTCTGACAAAGGGCTGATATCCAGAATTTACAAAGAACTAAAACAGATTTACAAGAAAAAAACAAACAAGCCCATTCAAAAGTGGGCAAAGGATATGAACAGACACTTTACAAAAGAAGACATACATGAGACCAACAAACATATGAAAAAATGCTCATCATCACTGGTCATTAGAGAAATGCAAATCAAAACTACATTGAGATACCATCTCACACCAGTTAGAATAGCGATCATTAAAAAATCTGGAGACAACAGATACTGAAGAGGATGTGGAGAAATAGGAACACTTTTACACTGCTGGTGGGAGTGTAAATTAGTTCAACCATTGTGGAAGACAGTGTGGCAATTCCTCAAGGACCTAGAAATAGAAATTCCATTTGACCCAGCAATCCCATTACTGGGTATATATCCAAAGGACTATAAATCACTCTACTATAAGGACACATGCACAAGAATGTTCACTGCAGCATTGTTTACAATAGCAAAGACCTGGAATCAACCCAAATACCCATCGATGATAGACTGGACAGGGAAAATGTGGCACATATACACCATGGAATATTATGCAGCCATCAAAAACAATGAGTTCATGTCCTTTGTAGGGACATGGATGAACCTGGAGAACATCATTCTCAGCAAACTGACACAAGAACAGAAAATGAAATACTGCATGTTCTCACTCATAGGCAGGTGTTGAACAATGAGAACACATGGACACAGGGAGGGGAGCACTACACACTGGGGTCTGTTGGGGGGAATAGGGGAGGGACAGTGGGGGGTGGGGAGTTGGGGAGAGATAGCATGGGGAGAAATGCTAGATATGGGTGAAGGGGAGGAAGGCAGCAAATCACACTGCCACATGTGTACCTATGCAACTATCTTGCATGTTCTTCACATGTACCCCAAAACCTAAAATGCAATAAAAAATAAATAAATAAATAAATAAGAATGGAACCCTGGAAAAAAAAAGAAGATTCTTCCTTGGAAACCCCTCTCAGTTCACCGGCTTCCTGTTTCCTGAGGTGCCTCCTACCTCGTGTGTCCCAATTCTCCTACTGGCAGCACAGAGAATGTCCTCTGGCCAACAGGGAGCTCTGAGGGCCTGCTGCCTCCCCTCCCATTCTCTCTCTGCCCTTGGGGCCCACTCCCCCCCATATTGAGAATGGGGGCTGGGTCTCCCCCATCAGACTAGAGGCCCTCCGAGGGCAGGCTGTCTCCCCCACCAGACAGAAGGCCTCCCAGCAAAGGCAGACTGTGTCTTCCACATCAGACTGAAGGTCACCCCAAGGGCTGGATCTCCCCCAGCAGATTGGAGGCCCAGCTGGGCCTCCCTTCCTCCTCACACCACTGCCCTGAACGGGCACCCAGCATACTAGGCCTATAGGCCAAGTACCTATCCACCAGTGTTCTCCTGGGCTGGGTCAGACCCTGTGCCGGGGGCCCAAAGGGCAGTCAGACCTGCTGTGAGGACTGTGCTGGGACACTTGTTGGGGGCTGCTGTGGGAGGCAAGCCAAGGGGTCAGACATGTCCTTCTTCCTGGCTTGAGACCCAGGCGGGTCAGGGGACGAGAAAGGCCCTGGGAAAGCCAGTGCTTCTCGCTCTCCTTCCTCTCAGAAGGCTGAGGAAGTGCAAGGCCCTTGGAGGAAGGTGATGGGGTGGGACGGGCTGAGGGAAGGGCAGGGAAGCTCTCCAGTGCAAGCGAGGGGCTGGGAAGGGATGGGGTGGGATAGGCTGTGGGGAGGGCAAGGGAAGCCCTAGTGTTAACCAGGGACTAGGAAGTGATGGGGTGGGGTGGGCTGGCGGGGGGTGACAGAAAAGTCCCAGCATGAACCAGGGACTGAAAGGGATGGGGTGGGATAGGCTGGGGGGAGGGCAGGGAAGTCCTCATGTGAACCAAGGGCTGGGAAGAGATGGGGTGGGGTGGGGTGGGGTGGGGTGGGCGGGGGGAGGGCAGGGAAGCCCTCATGTGAACCAGGGGCTGGGAAGGGATGGGGTGGGGTGGGCTGGGAGGTGGTGACAGGAAAGTCCCAGCGTGAACCAGGGGCTAGAAAGGGATGGGGTGGGGTGCGGTGGGTGGGGGGAGGGCAGGGAAGCCCCAGTGTGAACCAGGGGCTGGAAAGGGAGTCTGCGACTGCAGTTGCCCCAGATGTTCATGGGAGAAAGGGGACAGAGGGGAGCGCTAAGGCAGAAGATTCCCCTCCTGTTAGTGTCTCACTGGCCCTTAGCCCAGCCCAGTAGCACCAATGAGGTCAGAGGTCCTCAGGGCCATGTCCTGGACATGAGTGGAGCAGTTGCAGCTCATGCAACCCAATGAAGGGGGCCCAGCCCAGGAGTCGCCATCAGCCCCCAGACCCTTGCTCCTCAAAGGTGCAAAAGCTCACCTGCTGTCCTGCACATGGCGCTGCCTCTCCCTCCCGTCTAAGGAGCTGGGCTGGATAACTCCACCTCCCCTTCCCAGCACCCAGGAAGAGCCACTGATCAGTTCTCTCCCAGGCTGGCAGTGGCCGGGTCCCATGGCTTCCAAGCAACATCTCCCTCCATTAGCAATGGTTAATTTTGTGTGTCAACTTGTCTGGGCCACAGGGAGCCCAGATATTTGGTTAAACATGGCTCTGGGTGTGTCTGTGAGGGTGTCTCTGGCTGAGATTAGCATCTGAATGGCAGGCTTAGTCACACACTGGCCCTCCCAGTGTGGGCAGGCCTCATCCAACAGCTGAAGACTGAATGGAAAAGGCTGAGGGGGAGAATTGCTCCCTGCCTGACTACCTTCCAGCTGAGACACCCGTTCTTTCCTGCCTTTAGAATCACACTGCAGCATCAGCTCTTTTGGGGTCGCAGGTCCTCCAGCTTTTGAACTGGAATGCACACCACTGCACCAGCTCCAGGGTTCCCAGGCCTCCACACTCACACTGAATGACACCAGCAGCTCGCCTGGGCCTCCAGCCAGCTGTGCACAGACGCTGGGGCTTCGCAGCCTCCCACCGCCCCATGAGCTAACTCTTTATAATAAATCTTTTCATACCTACATGTGTATACATGTACATGCACATAGACACATTCACACCTGTCCCACTGGTTCTGTTCCTCTGGAGAATGCTGACTGACACAGTAAGGAAAAGGACTCCAGGAACGGGACACTTATTCCCATTACAGACTAGAAGCCTCATGCTCCCATGGGGGCCAGCACAGAGGCACCCAGGTATAGGTGGCAGAACTGGAAGATGATCAGGCTGGCCTGGATCCGAGGACAGCACCTCTGTGCTGTTACAACACCAGAAAAGCAAGCCAGGGAAAGGGGCAGGCCGCATCCCCGAGTCTCAGCCGCCAGTCTCAGAGCTCATCCATAAGGCCGGTGCCTCAGTTTCCCCATTTGTAAATGAAAGTTGTGTCATCTAAAGCCCAGACCCAATCATCTGTGTTCTTAAGGTTCCAGGACTCCACTCAGTGTTTCCCCCCAGGTGTTGAGTAGCTGATTTACCGCTGCAAAAGAGAGAGAACTAGGTAGGCAAAGGAAGATTGCCCCTCATGAGGAAGCACCCTGGGAGGGCTGCACTCCAGGCCTGGTGGCAACTCATTCCAATCAATAATCCAAACAAATCAAACATCACCAAAATACCCCTTGGGGAACCAGGCTGAGTCTCCCGCCCAGGATGGACTGCAGGAGTGACAGTGCTGTCAGTCAGCAACAGGCATGGGCTGAGGCTGAGCCAGGGACGAGCCCCCAGACCAGTCCCTCATGCTGGGGGCCAAGACAAGGACGGTGCTGGAACCAGGAAGGCAGGACCCAGGCAGCCTCCCCTTCCATGTGGTTTGAAGAGCCCAGCCTCCAGGATGGCTGCATCTACCCTGGCCACACCCTCAGCACAGCCCGAGCTCCATGGGTACAAGTCCTCGGTACCAGTCCATGGACAGGGAACCCACTCCCACTTCCACAGACAGCAACAGACGCAACTCAGGATCCAGGCCACAGCGCAGTGCAGCTGGGTGCTTTCTGCTCTTGGTAGCCTTGGCAATGTGTGGCAGAGAAAGAGGTTGGGTCCAATAGGGACCTTGGGCCCCCTCTGCTTCCCAACAAACTCCATCCAATCGATCCCTGAGACACTGCTGAGCGCTGAAAGCAGTACCAGGGTGGAGGCAAGAAAGGGTCAGCAAAAGGGAGGCAGGCCACCAGGGCCACAAGCCAAAGGATAGGGCAGTACCTGAGGCTGCAGGGTGGTAGCTTCCAGGACAGAGACCCGGGGCCCACAGCTGGCCCACACGGCATCCTCCAGGCTCAGCAGAGTACGGATGGGCCCAGGCCCCACAGTCAGGCACACAGGAGGGCTCTCCAGGTCCCACAGGACACCTCCTGCAGGGAGAGAGGGGAGGCGGGTCAGGGGCCAGGAGCAGCAAGCAGGTCTCCAGGGAACACAGGCCAGCAGCAGGGGGCTCAGCAGGGCCCCACACACCCTCTCCCTGCCCTGCTCTCCAGGGCCTTTCCCTCCCCATCCGGCTGGATGGTGGCGATACCCATCTGCCTCCAACTCCATTCATGTCCCACATCCTCCGCCCCTACTTTCAGGTTCATCCTTCCTTCCTTCTCTCCCTCCCTTCCTTCCTCCCTCCTTCCATTCCCTTTCCCCCCTTCCCTTCCATGTGTCTCTCTTTCCCTCTCTCCCATTCATTCACTTCACACACATGTAGTAAGCACCTACTCCATGCCAGCCCACACACTAGGTGCTGGGAAGACAGAAATGAATCAGACATAGGCCCCATCCTCAAGGAAGCCCCAGTGGTCAAAGCAATCAATAGGTTAATCACCAGTTATCGCATGACACGCCAAGCACAAATGAGCAGGTGTACACAGGGGCCTTGAGAACTGCTGAGAAGGAAGGAACTAACTCTGCACTGGGATCCAGGGAGGCTTCTCAGAAGAGGCAGCATGATATGGTAGAAAGTGTCCCGGACCTGGAGTCGAGAGACTTGGGGTCTGGCCCTGGTTCTGCTACTACCAGCTTGCTAAGGACCTTGAGCACATCTCTACCCTTTACAAGGCTTCAGTTTCCCCGTCTGTAGAATGGGTGGGGAATTGACAAGGTTGTCTCTGAAGACTTTCCTGAGGCTGTAGCTAATCTAGACTGAATCTTGATTTCTCATGGCTCTTCTGGCCAACCCCAAGACACTTCTGTCAAATTTACCAAAATCTCTTCCTCCTGCAGAAACACCACGGCCGCCAGGTGCAGTGGAGGATTTTTTTTGTTTTTGTTTTTGCTTTTGTGTTTGAGATGAAGTCTCACTGTTTCCCAGGCTGGAGTGCAGTGGCATGATCTTGGCTCGCTGCAACCTCTGCCACCCTGGGTTCCAGCTATTCTCTTGCCTCAGCCTCCCAAGTAGCTGGGATTATAGATGCCCACCACCATGCCTGGTTAATTTTTGGTATTTTTAATACAGATGGGGTTTTGCCATGTTGGCCAGGCTGATCTTGAACTCCTGACCTCAAGTGATCCACCTGCCTTGGCCTCCCAAAGTTCTGGGATTACAGGTGTGAGCCCCCACTCCTGGTCCAGAGGAGCTTCTGAGAGGCAATGAATCCCAGCCTAGTCTGCCATCCCTGAAAACCAGACAGACCTAGGAGCCTGGCCCAAGCAAGGTCCTCCCCACCCTTGGGATGCTCAGCTCACCCAAGAACCATTTTCCCTGGCATCCAAGCAGTGCACACCGAGATTGTTTTTCTCAGAAGTCACACCTGATGCCACACTGAACCTCGGTGGCTTCCCTGTATTGTCAGGATGCCAGGTGGGAAAGAGAGGTTGAGGAGGAAGCTGGGGCCCAGCCTGGGGCAGCCCAGGCATGGCACACTCTGGAGAGACAGGCAGCAGTGGCGGGGGACTGGGAGGTAGTACCCAGCTAGCTGTGGGCTTGCCAGTGCCCTGCTCTCCCACCAGCCCTCCACTGGGTCCCTGGTAAGAGCACAGAGCAGCCCATTACAGGCAGACTCTTCCCTTCTGAGCCAGCGGCTTGGTGGCATGATGGGGCACAGCTGTCTCCAAAGCTGAAAGGCCCCAGGGTGGGTAATGGAAGCCATTGCTGGGGTGTGGTCGGAAGAGCCAGCCTAGACTCCCACTCCTCCTCTCCCCAGGATTCCCTACTGTACCCTGTCCCATCCCATGCTCGGCCTGGTCCCCATTTTCCCTCCCTCCCCTCCTCTTTCCCATCAATAAAACAGGTTCCTCTTCAGCCCTTATGCCCTACTTAAAATGGGAGGCTCCAAGCTCAGTTAAGACGCAGGGGAACCGGGACTCCCCTCAACCTCTAGGCACATAGAGTGCTCTGCCCAGCCAGCCAGCATGGGCACAAGGGAAGTAGGTGGAGCAGGGCCGTCCTCAGCCCCAGAGCTTGTGTGTGAACTTGAACAGGGGGCTTCGCCTCTCTGGACCTCAGTTTCCCTCATCTTACACCGGGCATGATAACCATGGCTGCAGTTCTCCAGATGTTGCAGGAAGTCAGTGAAATATGCAAGAATATTTATCTGGGCACACAGTCAGGGGCCTCGACAGCGGCTGTTACACAGCGTTCTGTATCCACACGCCAGGCCCTCCTCCCATGAATTACTTCCTTAACTCCCACCAAGCCTGTGTGGTAGACACTATTATTATCCCTGCTCATAATGGAGATGGCTGAGACATAGCCAGTTTAAATAACTAGCACAATTCCCTCAGCTACAAAGGAGTCTGTGCCCGTGGCTCTTACTGTTTGATGTCATTTGCCACAGAGCGTGGAAGCAAGTGGTGACTCCACTTAACCAACGTGACAATGGCAACCGTGGAGCTAAGACCTTGTACAGACACCCAAGGGGTGACAGGCCAGGCAGGTTTTGAACTCGGCTCTGTCTGACTCTGGGCCTGGCCTGCTTCTCCATTCCCACTGCCCTCTCAGGTTTCTGAAGGGCTCTGCAGCTGGGCCTGGTGTATAGGAGGGGCAAGTGACCTGAAGGTGGCCAGGCCTCCGCCAGGGATGCTGGCCCACAGTGGGATGCTGGAGACAAGAAAATGCAAGGCTTTGAGCACCCTCCAGTGGCCAGAGGTGAGTAGTGTTCGTGGCTGGAACCTGGAGCCTAATTAGGCTAATCTGACTGAGATGGGGGCTGGAATCCCTCCCTGGGAAAAAGCAACTAAGGATGCTGAGTAAATGCCCCCCAAAACTAGAAAATGGGGGCTGGGATGGGGGCTGGTACTCTTCCCGGGGAAAAAGCAGCTAGGGATACTGAGAAAACACCCCCAAAACTAGAAAATAGGGCTGTATCTGGCACTGATAGCCACAGAACCCCTTGCATTCACTCTCCTGGAACATAGCCTCGCTGTGGCAGCCTAGGGTAGGAGCTAGGGTCTGAAACCCTGAGGACTTCATGAATGCCATTCCTCCATTTGCTGGAGCCTCCAGAAATCCTCTAAAAAGTCCTGACTCCAAAGCACAATGATGAACTGTGATCAAGTTTAATAATGCTGACACTGTTGGATCAAAAAGCTCATAAACGTTGGGCGCAGTGGCTCACGCTTGTAATCCCAGCACTTTGGGAGGCCAAGGCAGGTGAATCACCTGAGGTCAGGAGTTTGAGAGCAGCTTGGCCAACATGGTGAAACCCCATCTCTATTAAAAATACAAAAATTAGCTGAGCATGGTGGCACGCACCTTTAATCCCAGCTACTCAGGAGGCTAAGGCAGGAGAATCACTTGAACCCCGGAGGCAGAGGTTGCAGTGAGCCAAGATCGCACCACTGCACTCCAGCCTGGGTGACACCAGACAGGAGTCCCTAATTAGAGGGCCCATGGTGGGATCCTGAACAAGAGACTTCCCCTTGCTGGACTCACTTTCCCCATCTGTACTATGAGGACAAAACTTTGTCCTCTGAGGTTCTTTCCAGCTCTCACATATTGTGATTCTGAGATCACAAATGCAATTGCAGTGAGCTCTGGTGAGAGCCGCCCCTGCCTGATGGAAGCCCCACTCTTTCTACCCCCTCTTACCCTCCAGTGTCTCTGGGTAAGCACATACATGTTCTGGAACACACACCCACACACATGCCTGCCCCTGCATGAAAGCCCATTCATCTGGGTGGGAAACCAGCTCTCCCAGCCAGCAGAAGGGAGATGAGGGCCCTGTCTCAGCAAAGGCACCTTCAGGAGGCTGGCATCCCTCCTACCTCAGTGTGCAGTGGAGAAGGACCCCAGGTCTCCCTCAGGGGTCAAGATTGGGCTGGAGCCAGACAGCAGATCCCAGAGTGAGACATCACAGCTAAGAGGGGCCCAAAGGGCAGCCCCTGCCTGGTGACAGTAAATAACTACCATGATGCTGATGACTGTGATAAAAGGGACACGTGGGAAGCATCAATCCTCCAGGCTCTGTTGTAGCACTCATGGGAATTGCTGTGTCTACCCTTCACAATCATTCTATAAAGTGGGGCTGTCTGTACCCCCATTTCACAGGTGAGAAAACCAAGGATCAGAGGGGCAAAGCAAAGGCCCAACCTCTCACAGTGGGGACTCAATCCCAGCAGCCTGATGCCCAACCCACCCCTTCCCCATTATGCCATCTGCCTCCTCAAAGGGGGACCCTGAACCACAGCCCCAGTGCCCAATGAGGGATACTCCCACATCCCCACCCAAGCCCTGGCAATGCCCCTGTGTCTTCTCAGAGGCAGGGGAGAGCCCGGGTAGCACACAGGCAGGGACAGTGGCCACCTTGCTCAGCTCCAGGCCCCAGCACCCTCAGGGGCACTCGCTTGTTGAGTAAATGAATGAGTGAATGAATGAATGAGAACAAGCAGATGCTCCTGAGGGCAGCAGAGTGACTGCCATGGCCACACTGCTCTTGGCCTCAGTGTCCCCATCTCTCAGCTGCAGGTGGGACTCTGAGGCCACTCCAGCTCTGCCAGTCTGTTCCTCCACGTGGCCTGGTCTCCCTGCAGTCCCCACAGTCACCTCTCAGCTGCTGGTTCTATAGGATCTCCAGGGCTAAGCTAAGTCCCCAGGTAGGTTTCTGCCTATTTTGCTTAATATATGTCTGGTCCTATCCTTCTGCAATAAGCCAAAGCATGGCCAGGAATGCCAGTTTTAGCAGGAATGCCAGTCTTGGTCTCAGCCCAACCTTGCAGGACAGTGAAGCTGTCACTTCCAACAGCAGCAAAAACCCCATGGAGCACCTGCTTCTGGATGAAGATGAGGGATCTAGACTTTCACAATCCCTGGACCCTCCATACTACCAGGAGCACCACAGTGGTTTCTGAGGCTGATACACAGCCCAGGAGGTGAATGCAGGTGCAGCTCCAAGCCCGGGCTCTGCTGCTGGGATGGGTGGGGACATCTGAGGGGTATCTAAGGCCTGAGTGAATCTGGACAAGGGCCAAGCTGATGCCAGCCCTGTAGCTGGTCATGGACTGGGTGGATGATTCCAAACCCAGCCACATGTAATCCAGGTGAAAGGTGATGGGGCGAATCCCACCCACCCCACACCGTGCAGCAGGTCCTGAGAACCCAGCTGCCTGCCTGGGCTGCCTCTGAAAGATACCACCAGGTGTGAGTGGGGATACCAGGTAAGGCACACCCTTTCCCAGGGGCCTCCTTGGCCAGAGCCAAACTGGACACCCAGAGAACAGGTTCACAGGGAGACTGTGACCACCAAATTCACCTGCCCAGGAGGCTACCTCAGCCTCCCAGCCATGGGAGGCTGCCTCCCCTCCTGTCTACCAGCCAGAGGGAGCCCAGAGCCCAGCCATGTCTAACACACCTCTCTACCCCTGACACACTGAGACAAGTTGGACACCCTCACAAACAGCTCTGTCTGCCCCCGGTCATGCCTAGTGCCACTTCCTCTTCCAGCTGCCCAGCAACACGGCCTCCTCTCCATGCAGCTTGGCCCTTGTCCAGATTCACTCAGGCCTTGGATACCCCTCAGATGTCCCCACCCATCCCAGCAGCAGAGCCCGGGCTTGGAGCTGCACCTGCATTCACCTCCTGGGCTGTATATCAGCCTCAGAAACCACTGTGGTGCTCCTGGTAGTATGGAGGGTCCAGGGATTGTGAATGTTCCCCCAGCAGATCAAGCATTCTCTCCCTCCAGGCCTTTGCATGTGCTATTCCCTCTGCCGAGAACACTCCCCCCACTCTCCACTTGCCTGGCTTCTTAAGATCTCAGCCTCAGGATGCCCCTCCTTGAGGAAGCCTTTGCGGCACACCCCATCCCACATTTGGTGGTGAGGCTCTCACACAACACCAGTTCCTTCCTGTAGGAGCCCTCAGCACCATGTATAATCTTATACTTCTGCTTGTTTACTAACTGATTCTCTCTCCCTCTATAGACTGTAAGCTCCATGAGGGCAGGCAGCCTGTCCATTTTGCTCGCCTCTGTATCCATGGCATATAGCAGGTGTTCAGTAAGCATTTCAAGCATTTTGTGTACACATGATTGCAAGGCAGGAAAGCTAGAAGAATGTCTCAGCCTTCAAGCCCCATGGTTTCCACTCTACCTGGACAAGCCAAAGCCCCCTCCCACCTGCAAGGAGCTCTAGCCCAGAAGGCAGGGTACTGGGTGCAGGTTCAGCTCAGTCAGGGGGCTCTGGACAGTCTGCTCCCATCCAGAAAATGAGGGCATGCAGTTTAATGGTCCCCAGTGGCCCTTCTGGTTCTGACAAACTAACAGGCTCCAACCCTAGGCTGGAAGCCAATGGGTGGACCTCAAACACCCTCTTTTGGGGTAAACTGTGCCCCCTCATCTGTATGTTGAGGTCCTGGCCCCCAGTACCTTAGAATGTGATCTCCTTGATAAAGAAGGTCACTGCAGATGTGATTAGTTGAGATGAGTTGATACTGGAGAGGGACAGGTCCCTAATTCAATGATTTGTGTCCTCATAAAAAAGAAATCTGCACACAGACGCACAGCCAAGGAGAACAGCACTCGGAGCTGGAGTTCTGCTGCCACAGGGGAGGAACCACAAAGCAGCTGGGAGCCAAGACCAGAGCAGATCCTTCCCCAGTGCCTTCTGAGGGCACATGGCCCATCCAAACATGGACCCCAGGCTTCCAGCCTCTAGGATATGCAACTGTATGTATCTGCCATTTGTGGTCCTTGCCATGGCAGCCTCACCTCCTCCCAACCCAGGTGCCCAAACTGGTGAGTCGAGCAGCGAGAGGGAATGGGCCAAAGGCCACCCAAGCTGGGGACCAGAGGGCTGGGGTGGCACAGGCTGGGCTCATAGTGTTCCATGGGAGCTGGTTGGGAGTGGTCCCTCTAGAACTCCCCGACTGAGTCTCGGCAGACCTGAACCCGTATTTACATTCACACACACGCTCTGTCTAATGGTGAGAAGGGTTTTTTCCCTCCCTCTTCCCCCTTTAATTAAAAACTATAAATGCCTTATCAAAAGCTAATTAAAAATACCAACACAGCGCCAAGTGGCAAAAAAAAAAAAAAAAATCAGCTCAGTATAAATATCCGTCTATAACACTGCAACAGGCTGCAATGACGCAGCAACCACAGGCTGGCTGGCGGAAAGGAGGGGAGAAGAGACGCTGCCAGCCCTTCAGGTTCCTCTGCCCCTTCTAGGGGCCTGGGGGCCGCCTACACTCTCCGCTCAGCCGCCTTCATCAAACCAGGCTGAACAAGCCTAGGGCATGGGGACCACAGTACTCCACATGGCTAGGGACAAGGTACGTCCGGTGCCCAGTCAGCATCATCTCAGTAAAGCAAAGGAAATTCTCCAGGGGTGTGTGAGAATTAAGATAACACACTTGCATTTGGCACTTCACTCCTTCCCTGGAGCAGCAGCCCAAACATGATTAGCCCTGCCCTCCTGCCTTCCTGCCATCATTACCTATGCTAGGGATGGCTCAATAAAACAACCCAGATGGAAATGATCGACCCCACTGAGCACCCGCTGGGCCTGGCCCTGTGTTTTGCCTTCATGGAGTCATCTAACCCTCCAGGACCCATGAGTACTGGGCACTACTCTTATTCTCATGAAGAGCCCCACGCACAACGAACAGAGGCCACTCAACAAGGGATACAGCTCTCATCGGGCAAAGCCTGAACGGGAAGCCAGGTCTCTCTGACCTGCGGGTACCTCTCTTACCCACTAGAGTCTCCTGCCAACATGCTTTGCTGACCACATATAGTGGGCACCATATTCCAGCAGGGATTCATGTGTGGGGAACCATTTATTAAAACTCAGTGGGGCTTGGGGATCTCCAAATCCCCTTGGCATTGAGATTTCTCAATTCATTCCTACCCAACCTCCTGTATCCTCTCTTGGTAGAGGATCTGGTATCCAACTGGCGTCCAGGACTGCCTCCCTCCTCTCATTCTCCCCAGTCCTTACCGCTGGTCCGAGGGTAGGCAGCGAGGGTCCCATCCTGCAGGCCAGCGAGCAGATGGAAGGGGCTATGCCGCAGGCAGAGCACAGGCTGCAGACCTGGACTCCTGCAGGTCGCCAGGCACTGGGTGCCAGTGTCCACACTGCCGTAAAACAGGATGCTGCAGGGAGAGGTCGGAAAAGCGGTCATGACACACTGAGCATTCTCACCTGCTCACTACCCCCATGCCCTTCTAGCGAGAGGGGCCAAGGAGCTGCTCCCTCTCAGCCATGCCTTTCTGCTGTGTGGCCAGGCCATAGCTCCACCATGCAGGAGCTCACTTTTCCGTGGTTTTCTGGGATGGTACCCTCCGCGGCCTCTGTCACGAAGAGGACTCAGGGAGGCTCCAGAGGCAGCACAATAAAGGTACTGAGAGAGCTATTTTCAGGGTCACATGAACCTGAGTTTGAATCCAGACATGCCACTTTCTAGTCTGACAGACCCTGGACTGCTAAGCCTCAGTTCTCTCTGTAAAATGGGGCAATGATCCTACTTTACCACCATAAAAGGAACAAAACACTGACACATGCTACACAGATGAATCTCGCCTGCGTGATGCTGAGAGAAGCAGGCAGGAAAGTCCACAGAGCATCTCAGTCCATTTACACAAAACATACAGAGCATGTGAGGCATCCACATGAAACATACATAGTGTGAGTCCATTCACATGAAATGTACATAGTGTATATGAGTCATTCACATGAAATATACATAGTATATGAGTCACTGACATGAAACGTACATAGTGTGATGTGAGTCCATTCACATAAAACATACATAGTGGGAGTTCGTTCATATGAAATGTACATAGTGAGCCATTCACATGAAATGTACACAGTGTATGAGTCACTCACATGAAACATACATAGTGTGAGTCCATTCACATGAAATGTACATAGTGTATATGAGTCATTCACATGAAATGTACATAGTATATGAGTCACTCATGTGAAACATACATAGTGTGATGTTAGTCCATTCACATAAAACATACATAGAGTTCATTCATATGAAACACACATAGTGAGTCATTCACATGAAATGTACATAGTGTGAGTCCATTCACATGAAACATATATAGTGTGAGTTCATTCATATGAAATGTACATAGTCATTCACATGAAATGTACATACCATGTGTGTCATTTACATGAAACATACATAGTGTGTGAGTCATTCATGTGAAACATACATAGTGTGAGTCTATTCACATGAAATGTACATAGTGTGTGTCATTCACATGAAAAGTACATAGCACATGAGTCATTACATGAAACGTACATAGTGTGTGAAATGTACATAGCATTTCTATTCACATGACATGTACACAGAATGTGTCATTCACATGAAATGTATATAACACCTGAGTCTATTCACATGAAATTTACATACTGTATGAGTCTAGTCACATGAAACATACGTAGTGTGTAAGTCTATTCACATGAAATGTACACAGTGGGTGAGTCATTCACATAAAATGTACATAGCATGAGTCTATTCACATGAACTGTACATAGCCCGAGTCCATTTATATGAAATGTACATGGAGTATCAGCCTATTTACATGAAACATACATAGTACAGTGTGTGAATCCATTTATACAGTGTCCTGAGGAGACAATCCAGAGACAGAAAGTAGATTAGTGTTTTCCAGAGTGGGGGGCAGGAGAATGGAGGGAGATTATTTAATGGGCATGTGGTTTTTTGGAGCAGGGGTAATAAAAATGTTCTGAAAGGCCCTTCCTAGGTCCAGGCCCTGGCTGGGCACTTGGCTGTAGGCCAGGCCTGAACTGTGCAGAGCTTAGAGAGGCTCCCATTGGACTTGGTAACCTGAGCTTTTGCTCCTTGCTCCATTTTCTTGTATGGGAAAGGGGAGGGAAGACCTCGGCATTAAAGAGGAGTGGCTATGAGGTTCACCACTGAGCAGCACACAGTAAGTGCTCAGGAAACATGCTCTCACCTTGTCTCCTGCTCTATAGGAGTGGGTGGAATGCACAGAGACACAGGGAGAACTGGACACGGTGGTGCCAGGCCTGGACTCCCAGGGGTGTAGCCCACCTCAGGTCTTCACTGATCCTCACTTTCACCTCCCTCTCCCTTTCTGCTACAGGAGGTGGTCTACCCATCCCGCACAGGCCACAGCTGGCCCTAGGCCTCCTGACTGCGAGCTGGTTTTGCTGACTCACAAAGCCCTAGACGTCTTACAGAAGGCAGTTCCCTCTGCCAGTAGTGACCTCTTGATCTAGAAACACCCTGGAACCCTCACCCTGCCTAGCAAGGGGAATGAGGGCCACAGATGGCGAACATTCAGTGACAGCTAAGTGAACTGAAGTCCTCATGTGGCTGTGTCTCAGTGGGTTCTCACAGCAGCCCTGCGTCAGGGGATTCTAGTCCCTACTTTATAGATGAGAAACTGAGGTTCAGAGAGGTTAAATGAATGCCAAGGACCCAGAACAAGGAAGTGGGGAAGCCAAAATTCAAACCCAGTTCTTGCTGACAGCAGAGCCAGCATCCCCCTCCACCAGCCATGCTGCCTGAGAGGAGCCAGTCAACTGCACTGCAGGCAGCTCCCGACTCTTTGGCTCCCACATGGGCAGCTCTGGTCCCCACCTTCCTGAAGACCAGGGGCAAAAAATGTTGGTGAGCAACAGGCAGATCCAGAAAGCTACAGGGACAGCCCCCAGCCACTGCCAAGCCCTGCAGAGGCTGCCTTCACCCTTCCTCCCAGGCCCCTCACCTGCCATCCTGGAGCCCAAGGCAGATGGTTGGATGCACTGTGGCTGAGGGGTCAGCAGCTGTCTGGCTCTCGTCTCGGCTGTCTGCCTCCTCCTCCTCTGGCTCTGGGATGTACTCCATGCAGAGCACAGGGGATGCCAGTGGGAAGGACTTGACGGTGCGGGGTGAGGGCCGGTTCAAGGAGAAGATTTCCACCTGGCCCCCTGCGCCTTCCTGTCTGCCCCCAACCTGGGAGCAGAGACCCAGAGAGGCCATCAGGTGAAAACCAAAGGAAGGAGCAGAGGAGGAACCTCAGCCCTGCCTTCCCAAGAACCCCATTCCTTGAAGCATCCCTTCTCCTGCCCACACACATCCTGCAGTCACAAAGGTCATTTATCCCCAGCTGCCACGGAAACAAATTAGCTTCAGGGCCCACAGGAAATAAGGTAAGAAGCTAAGGTGGACTAAATACTCAGTCAGCTTTCTATTTGCTCCTCTGCAGGGTACATTTCAACCAATATAAAGTAAACATCTACTCCATTCCTTTAAGATCCCCTTCTCTGTGTTGATCATTGTTATACCTCTGTATCCAGCATATGACACATATTCAATATATTCTTGTTGGATGGATAGATAGATGAATGGATGGGTGGACAGATGATGGGCAGATGGATGGAAAGATGCATAGGTGAATGGATGGGTGGGTGGAGGGATGGATGGATTAAATATAAATTCTTGTTGGATGGATAAACGGATAGGTGGGTGGATGCATAGATAGATGGGTGGATAGATAGACAGATGATGGATGGATGGATATACCGTGGGCTAGAGCATGAGGAAACGATGAGAAACAAATCACTCTCAGAAGGGGAGCAGCAGTGAGAGGGCACAATTTGCAGCACAAGGAACATGGTGGAGGGTACCTCATTTGAATCAAGGGAGGCTTTGCCAGGAAGCCCAAGGATAGAAAGGTGGGCTGGAATCTCTGCATGAGTAGGGCACTAGCCAGCCCTACCTCCTGACTCCAGGAGTGAAGATCCTGAGACCCAGGCCCTCTGCACAGCTCCCCCAGCCCGCCCTGCCTCCTTTCAGACCCAGGCCCTCTGCACAACTCCCCCAGCCCGCCCTGCCTCCTTTCAGACCCAGGCCCTCTGCGCAGCTCCCCCAGCCCGCCCTGCCTCCTTTCAGACCCAGGCCCTCTGCACAACTCCCCCAGCCCGCCCTGCCTCCTTTCAGACCCAGGCCCTCTGCGCAGCTCCCCCAGCCCGCCCTGCCTCCTTTCAGACCCAGGCCCTCTGCACAACTCCCCCAGCCCGCCCTGCCTCCTTTCAGACCCAGGCCCTCTGCGCAGCTCCCCCAGCCCGCCCTGCCTCCTTTAAGACCCAGGCCCTCTGTGCAGCTCCCCCAGCCCGCCCTGCCTCCTTTCAGACCCAGGCCCTCTGCGCAGCTCCCCCAGACCGCCCTGCCTCCTTTCAGACCCAGGACCTCTGCGCGGCTCCCCCAGCCCGCCCTGCCTCCTTTCAGACCCAGGCCCTCTGCGCAGCTCCCCCAGCCCGCCCTGCCTCCTTTCAGACCCAGGCCCTCTGCACAGCTCCCCCAGCCAGCCCTGCCTCCTTTGAGACCCAGGCCCTCTGCACAGCTCCCCTTTCACTTCCTTCTCAGCCCTGTCACCATTTGCAAAAGGCATCCTCTCTTATTAGCTCCCTGGTTTTCTGTTGCGCAAATGAGGTTGCACCTCCCAACTCCAAATACAGTTCCTGGCCCCAGAGACTCCCAGGAAGACCTTGCTGGATGAAGCTGCATGAGATGAGGTAGGCAGCTGCTGTCCCTAGCACCCCTCCCAGGTGCCGCTCTCCCCACTCCTGTCCTGAGGCCGCAATGCCCAGATGCTCAGGGGGGTGACTCACCCAGAGGTAGCCCTGTGGAAGGGAGGTGCTGACCGCTGAGAAGCCCAGCAGGGGACAGTTGACAGGACTGTGGACCAGGCCCCCAAGCTGCAGAGACAGAGATGGTGCATGCGGGGTTAATCCTTGAGGTGCCCAGATGCCAATATTTGGCAGATTCCTGGGCCCCATCCAACTCTCCCTGGATTAGAATCCCTGTGGGTGGAGGCCAGGAAAGCAACATGCTTCACAAGCTCCTGCTTCTCCAAGCAGTTCCTACTCGCTCACATTTGTTCTTCCTCTCCTAGAGCCTCCTGGCTAGAAGAGGCCTGCATGAGACTCCATCAGCTCAGGGCCTCTGAACTGAGCAGCTTCCAGGTACGGTTTCCTGAAAGCCACTAACACCCACCCCTCCTCATTTTACAGACAGGGAAATGAGAGTCACAGAAAGCCAGTGACTACACCAGACCACAAGGGAGGTAAGTGGCAGGGCTGGGCATCTTGTGAGGGCCACACACAGAAGCCAGGGCTCAGCCTGTTGCCGCTATCACCAGTAACCATTCCGCTTGCCCCTCCTGAATCAGCTGCCCCAGATCCCATGCTGGGTGGCCTCTCTCTGAGGCCTGTCTCCTGAGCTAGACCTGGCCAGTCCCTCTCTCTAGCCAGGACAGCAATTCTAGGAAATGGCCTGGCCCTCTCAAGGGCCACGCTGAAGGAGGAGGAGACAGAATACAGCTCTTGCTGGAGGGAGGATGCAGCCAGCCACTGGGCCCTTTTCCAGGCAGCTGCTGCCCTCTGCTGGTGCTGAAGGCCGCAGCCAGCCCCAGCCCCATTGTTAAAATATTCTCACAAAATTTCTAACAGCCATGGGCGAGGGCCCTAAGAGGTCACCTCCTCCAGCCTCCTCATTTAGCAGATGCCAACTTGAAGGTCAGAAGGGGCTGTGCCTGGCTCAAGGTCACACAAAATGTTAGTGGCAGAGTCAAGGCTAGAATTCAAACCTTCAATGCCTGGTTCAGGGCTCTTTCTATTCTGGTTGAATTCTGCCCCAGAAGCCCAGCTGCACACCAGAGGCCTCCGCACTCGGGGGCCCCAGCTCTGCCTACTGAAAAAGTGGGTTCTCACATTCAGAGCAGGGTCTTCGCTAAGCCTGGCCTCCGGGGCTCCCTGTCTTCTCTGCTTCCTGGTGGCTGCATCTAGCTGAAGGTGTACACTCTGCTGGGCTGATGCTCTCTCCACTCCCTTGGTAGAGAGGGGAGCATGGCAGCCCTGGCTCAGCCATTTCCATGGCAACTCCAGTGGGCCCTGATGTCAGATGAGTCAACAGAGCCAGGTCAAAGATGATAGAAAAAACTCATATGGCTCCTTCACAGGCAAGGCCCTGGCTCTAAAAGTCTTGCCAGTGCCAGGAAGCTGGGAAGTCAAGGCACCCTATGCAGAAGAGAGGAGGGGAGGCTGTGCAGGGAAGCAGCTTTGGGTATAGCCAACCCGGCTCCAGCCCCGGCTCAGCAGTTACTATCTGGATGGTACTGAACAAATCAGGTCCTCACCCACAGAGCGGAGACCCTGAAATCTCTCAGGATGGCCATGGGAACTGGAGAGGGAAGGTGTAAAGCCCCCAGTCCAGGACCAGGTACCCAGTGCCCTGCAGCTGCTAAGGCTTACCAAGGGCCTCCCATGGGATATTCTAGCACTTCACACACATTAGCTCATTTCGTCAGAGCAATGTGATGGGGGTAGAGCGATCCCGGATGAGCAGGAGCAGGGTACACGGCCAACAGCAGTTCTGGCTGAGGTCAGCGAAGGTCGACACACAGCAAATGGGCTGGTGAGCTTCGGCCTATGGCCACAGATCCCCTCTGGGTCTGGGCTATACCCTTTAGGCCCCCAAGATGCTCGAGTTTTAAAGCATTTCAGAGCAGGCAGCACTCTCATCCCTATCCCCAAGGCCCTGTCCCCAGGCAGGCTCTGAGACTGACCGTCAGGGGAACGGGTTTGCGCTGAGCCCTCCCTGCCCTCCTGCCACCCCCGCAGGGACAGCATCTCCCCTTGGATGGAGCCAGGGGTCCAAGAAGAACCTTTGACACCCCAGTAGTCAGGCCTTCAGAAATGCCGCAGAATGGATTCCGGTGTCCTCTCCTTTCTGGGGACCAAGGTGTCCTCAGGTGTTTGCTTCCATTTCTTGAGCCCTGAGCACACCCCATGCAACTGGCTAAACATGCAACCAGAATCGTAGCCTTTAATCCTCATGGTGACCCAGTCTGGGAGGTGCTGTGACCACCCCAGTTTCAGATAGCACGAGCTGAGGCAGGATTCCTGATATCACACTGTTGGGATCAAATCCAAGGCAGGTGGTCCCTGCTCCTTCACCATCCTAGCCAACTCCCTAGAGTAAGAAGGTCTTGGTGTGGCCCAGCATGGGCAGGGGCTACTGTCAGCACAGATGAAACCTATTCCTGCCTCCTGCCCCAACTCCTCTCATCCCTTGAAGGAAAGAACCCAACACGCCCTCATCCACTGGTACAAGAGCAGTACCCTGTCCGCACTGTGGCCAGCAACTTCCTCAGCCCAGCCCAAGCCCTTCCTAGACAAAGAGTATGGGCCACTGGTTGTCATGAGACCAGGCCAGAGCTGGAGACCCCCCTGCCCCAAGATCACCTGGAAACGTGGCAGGCTGGCAGGGGGCCTGGGCAGCGGTCCACACACTCACATCTGTTTCTGCAGTAATTGGACAGGGCCCTGGTACTCCAAGGCCCTAATCCATCAGGCTGCCAGCACAGAGCTGATGGGGCACATTTGTCGGAACTGGTGGGGGGGTGGGGTGCGGGCAGACTGGGATGGCGATTTGAGGCCTAGCAAGTGGGGCCATACAGGCTCAGCTCTGGCTTCTAGGGGCTCCACAGGCTTCTAGAGATCCACTCACACCCCCCCACTCACACACTAGCCCTGGTGCTCCTCAGGAGGTACTGAGCCGGGTCCAACAGGACTGAGGATGCTTCTGGCGACATGTTCCTGGGCCCGAGAGCTCCCACTGAGGAGGTTCATGAACCCTGGTTTCCCAGGTTCAAGGTGGCAGAGGCTTTCGACCTGGATGGGGATTTCTTTTGGGGAGGCCTTGGTGGCACTGGCCAGTCTGTGACTTCACCATGGGGATCTGATCTATCAGGGCTTGGCCTGCATCCTGTGTTCTCAAGAGACCCAAGGTCCTGGGGGAGACAGAAAAATCCAATGCCCACCATAAAAGCTGCCCAGGGCCAGCCTTTTGCAGGGATGCGCTAAGGCCAAGCTGGCTGCAGACACAGTGGGTCCTGAGACTCCCTGCCTCCAGCCCAAGGCCCCGGGGCCCACAGGTAAGCCCCCATCTGGCATACTCCATCTGTCACCACTTCAGCCAGGCCCTACCGCAACACACCCCCAGTGTGTCCCCATCTCCCTTGCCCACTGCCTCCCCCAGGGCTGGGACTAGGGTGATGGACCAGGGCACCCAGCTTGGATGCAAAATTTAAAAGGGCACCAAAAACTCAGTCACATACACACAAAATAGAGTCAGGCAACTACAAAAAAAAATCAATATTAATGCAAAAAATCAACAATGAATAAGTATTAATTGTTGGCCTTGGGCTGGAGGCAGGGAGTCTCAGGACCCACTGTGTCTGCAGCCAGCTTGGCCTTAGCGCATCCCTGCAAAAGGCTGGCCCTGGGCAGCTTTTATGGTGGGCATTGGATTTTTCTGTCTCCCCCAGGACCTTGGGTCTCTTGAGAACACAGGATGCAACAAGTAATAAGACTTTAAATACAGACCAAACTTGACCCTGCACTTGCACGACCTTGGCTCACTCACTTCACCCTAATCCTGGCCCTTTACGTACCAAGAAACAGAAAGAACGGCCAGACCACAGGCAGATATTTGCTGGTGTGATCATTTGTAAGCATTGCATTAAAACAGTATTTATCTTGATTACTGAGATTTTTGACATCTGCTGAAATTTTGTGCCGAGGCAAGGGCGCCTTACTCCAGTCACAGCCCTGGCCTCTGCCCACAGCAAGTCCTGCCACATCTCAGCAGGACCCTGAGCTAAGCTCTGGGCTACTCCCTTGATAGCCACTCTTTTTTATTTTTGTTTTCCTGAGACAAGGTAGGCTGGAGTGCAGTGGTACCATTTCGGCTCACTGCAACCTCCGCCTCCTGGTTTCAAGTGATTTTTCCACCTCAGCCTCTCCAGTAGCTGGGACTACAAGTTTGCACCACCACGCCCAGCTAATTTTTGTATTTTTGGTAAAGATGGGGTTTCACCATGTTGGCCAGGCTGGTCTCAAACTCCTGACCTCAAGTGATCCACCTGCCTCGGCCTCCCAAAATGCTGGGATTATAGATGTGAGCCACCATCCCACCCAGCTGATATCCTTTCTTATTTATTTATTTATAGAATCTCACTCTGTTGCCTAGGCTGGAGTGCAGTGGTACAATCACAGCTCACCGCAGCCTCAACCTCCTGGGCTCAAGCAATCTTCTCACCTCGGCCTCCCAAGTAGCTGGGACTACAGGCTCACACCACCACACCCAGCTAATTTTTGTATTTTTTTTTGAGAGATGGGGATCTCACTATGTCCCCAAGCTGATCTCGAACTCCTGGATTTAAGTGACCCTTCCACCTCAGCCTCCCAAAGGGCTGGAATTACAGGCATGAGCCACTGTACCTGGGCCCGGTATCCATTCTTATCTGCAATTCACTCTCACACACTAGCCAGAAGGATCCAAAAAATCCAAACTATAAATCAGATCATGCCAGTCTCCAGCTTGGGAAGCATCTGTTTCCAAGGCTTTTCACTGCTCTGAGAACAAAATCCACACCTGACCCAGCCTGAGAGGCTGGCATGGTCCAGCTCACCCACCAACTAACCTCAGGGCCTGCCCTCTTTCCTCCTGCCTCGCCTGGCTTCCCCCACTGCTCCTGCTGCACCCTCTGTGTGGGTTTGTCTACTGGGAATATTGTTCCCATCCCTGGGCTGAATCCTTCTTGCTGTTCGGTCTCAGTTTAAATGTTACCTCCTCCAAGAGGACATCTCTGAACCCCAACTCTGTGGCCCCACACATGTATCTACTGTAGGTCAAGACATCAACCAGTGGGCTGGTGAGCTTTGGCCTAAGCAACCCCGGCCACAGACCCCCTGTGGCTCTGGGCAACACCCCTTAGGCCCACAAGGTGTTCGAGTTTTAAAGCATCTCAGAGCAGGCCCTGATGTCTTTATTACTCACCTCACTCTCTTCTATTTCCTTTAGTTTGCTGGGTTTTTGCCTCTCTCTCTCTCTCTCTCTGCTAGGATTCAAAGCTACACAAGGGTTCGAATCTTGTATGTCTTAGTCACCACTGTATCCCCAGGATCTAGCACACAATAGGTGCTCAACAAATTACATGCAGAATGAACAAGTGAACAAATAAACTCACATCTCAAGGGTTTGTTCTTTCAGCTGTTTAGATCCCCGAGCTACAGCCCAATCGGCACCTCTCTTGTGGCTCACCAGTCTAGGCCTGGGTCCCCAGCTGGTGCTCCCATCCCTGAAGCTGAGATGACCTCATCTCCCTCGGAAAGGGGAGGCAGCAGTTGCTCCAGACAGAGGGCGAGCTAGGACAGGGTTTGAAGGCCGGTAACTCGTGGAGGCCGAATGGCCTCGTGGTTAAGACCCTAGGGGTTGTGATCAGGCAGGTCAAGGTTCAAATTCTTACTACCTGTGTCCTTTTAGGAAAATCATGGCACCTGTCTAAGCTGTAGTTTCCTTATCTATGAAACAGATAGAGGAACATCTACTCATGAGGTTCTTATAGATATTAAAATAAGAGAATGGCAGGAAAGCAATGGGGGGACACAGCCGGTGCCCAAGATGCATGAGGCCTGATGGCGCTGGAGCGTCCCATCATGAGGACAATCCCTGTGCCAAAGCTAGCTCCCACCTGGCGGACCACAAAGCACACAACCCAGTGTCTGGCACAGCCACTTCGGCATGATCTGTAGCCATGCCATCAACAGAAGAGATCACTGCTGCTTACTATCCCAAAATAAGGAAATTTTCCATGCACTGGACCCACAGTGGTCATTCAACCCCATTTTTTTGGTGGGAAAGCTGATTCCCAAAGCAACAAAAAGGTTTGACCAACCCTGTCAGTAAGAATTTAGAAGCCGCAACTGGAACCTGAGCCTTCCCTGCTGTGGGTGCTCCCTGGAAACTCTGGTTCTCCCAGGCGAGGGGGAGCCGCAGCCACCTTCAAGGTCGGCTCAGCAAGATCCGCTCCACTCACCTGCAGGCTGAGCGCCCGGGAGGAGAAGGCAGGGATGCAGCAGGCCAGGATTGGGCACCAGAACGGGGCTTTGCTCTTCTTGTCCTCATCTGGGCATAGCCAGCCTGGCTGGTTCTCCTCCCCTACAGCAAGAGGAAGGAGGTGGGTAGAGCTGGTCAGAATCCAAGGACCAACCGGGCCATGAGGAGCCCTCCAAGCCCAAGGCAGCCACTGCCCCAGAAGCCTGGCCCCACCCAGTCACTCCCCACCCTACGCCTGCTGGACTGAGATGAAATCCAGCCTCGGGAGAGATGCTATGGCCAGGGTCTCAGTAAGGGAGTTGAGAAACTGAAGGTCCCAGCTTGACCTCCCTACTGCTAAACACCCCACAGCCTGCAGGAGCTGGGTGACTCCCTGTGCAAGTCACCCCAACTCTTTGAGCCTCGATTTCTTTGCCTAGAAAATAGGAATGCTAGAAATGTCTTCGTCCTGTGTTTGTTGTGAGGAGCAAATAAAATAATAGGTGTGAAAGGGTTTTTTTAAAAAATACATAAAGATGCTGAACAGAGTCCAGGCCCCTGTCACCTTGAATTTCTGTTGCAGAGTAGGAGGCAGACCATGAATGAGCAGAGGACAAGAGGCCCTCACACTTGCTGTGATGGCGATGGGAATGCCGGAGAATCACATTCCTGCTTCCTTCAAGACTACCCTGAAATTAGGAAGCCACCTGCCTCCAGTTTACCCAGCCCAGCTGTGCCTCAAAGCTCCCAGGGACCTGTTACAAGCACAGATGCCCACCCCCATCCCAGACCCAGGACTCACCATGGGAGACCACCATGCTAAAGAGCATCTGCTAAACCTCGTTCTCTGTGGAGGCTCCTTTCCACGGCTCAGAACTCTGCTCACGTGCCCCCTCCTCTGAGACGTCCTCCCTGACCACCCTGACTCCTGCAGTGGCCTCCTTCTCTCAGGAATCGCTCTAAAGACTCCATCTTACTTTCCTCACAGCCTGCATGATGATCTAAGATCATCTTGCTTATCGACTTGTCTGTGGTCCATTCCCATAAGTCTCTAATCTCAAAGCTGTAGTCAGTGGGGGTCTGCACTGTCTCAGCCACCACTGTCCCCTGACACCCGACACACTGCAAGGTACATAACGAGTGCTCAGAAAACATCGCTGGAAAGAATGAATGAAAGGAGGGAGAGAAGGAAGGAGGGAGGGAGGGAGGGAGGAATAAACCACTGTCTGTCCTGAAGAATTCTCTTTGTGAGGGAGCCCCTCCTTCCTTCCACTCCCTAAGAGGACTCCCTTCCAGGAAGCCACAGCAGGGGCGGGCATGATGAAGACCTACTGTGCGCCCACACATCAGGCACCATACTGAGTGCCACTGCCTCTTCCCTGGCTTAGTCTTTACAATCGCTGAGCACAGTCCGAATCGTTATCTTCACTCTATAAAGGATGACACTGGCACTCAGGGATTAAGTGACAGGGCCAGGCCACAGCCATGGCTAGAGGGCAGCACCCAGATCCAGGCCTGCATCTGACACCCAAGTCTGAGTTTTCTGCACTAACCTAGGCAGCCTTCAGCAACCCCGCCCATCGATGCCCTGTCACAACGGCCTGTGGGCACAGATGCTGGAGTAGCTCCGCCTCAGGCAGCCGGAGGAAGAGGCCACTTGATGCAGTGACCCCAAGCTGAGGAGCACCCAGAGCGCCGGAGCCACATGGGCAGGTCACAGAGGGAACCACTGTGATGCAGCCTCCCCACCCCACGCACTCCTCCATGACAGAGGAAGCCGGGACCTATGGCCAGCCTGCCCCTGCCCTAGGAGGGGCCAGCTCAGCCTGAGAGTGCCCATTGGCCACACTGGGGCCCCCTGACACTACAGCATCCTCACTCAGCAGCCAGGCCCATCCTGCTAAAACTTACACCTGACTTCATCGTTCCCCTGCTCAGAAACATCAATGGAGTCCCAGTCTACCCAGAATAAGATCCTAACTCTTCTGGAAGAGCTGTGAAGGCCCCTTCCCTCCCCAGGCTCCTCCCTCTGCACCGGTTCCACTGTGCTGGACTGTGCTCAGCAACCTCACCAGGACGGGCCCGGAGGTTCCCTCTGCCCGGAACACTGTCCCTCAGCTCCCCAGGACTAGCTCTGTGACTCCCCTCCTTCTCAGAGAGGCCTGCACTGCCCATGTCCCCTGCCCTGGCCTCCACCACCTGCCGTCTCAGCCCATCGGAAGGCATCACGCCTCTCACAGCTACTCCCTGCTCCTCCACCCGCGTGGCTCTTCTTTGTTCGTGTGTGCATGTGTGCACACGTGGAAGTAGGGGCTCCCCACTCTGCTGGTGTTCTGTGAAGGCCAAAACCTTCTACACCTCACCCAACCCACTCACGCAGGGCTGGACCCACCACAGACCATCGATACATCTGGAAGCGGAAACAAAAAGTCTCTTCTCAGAGCGTCATTTTCCAGGTTTGTCAGATGTACCCATGACATGAACGTTCATCTGACTCGCTTTCATCAAAGAGATCCTGCTGGGTCAGAGAGACGGGCTGGACATAGGTGAGGAAGGGCTACCCTGAGGGCAGCACCTATGCCATCACTGCCCAGGAGAGGTGGCATCTGAATGCTGGCACCTAGCTCTAGAAGAGCTAGAATGAGGGGGCAGGTGAGGATGCTATTTGAGAAGAGAAAGACATTCGCAAATGTCAGGCATGACAACATGAAGGCGCCAGCACCCAGCGGCTCACACCCTCCGGCCTGAGTCACTGAGTGGCGAACTCATTCTTGAAATGGGTCAAGAGGCATCCTCCATGTCGGGCCCTCTACCCTGCTGGGCCCTGGGAACAGAGTCATGAAGCCCTGATCCCTGCCAGCAGGGAGGAAAGGCCAACATGAGAGACCCTCAGGGAAAGGGCACGACTGCACGGGGCATGCATTGCCCTAACAGATCCCTCTACAGGCCCTGTACCTCACAATTTCCACACTGCCTCACTGCATCCTCACAGCCATCACCGGAGGCAGGTACTTCCATCTGTATTCCACGCTGGCCAGCAGAGGAAAGGGGGAAGCAGGGGAAGGGCTCAGGCGCCAAGGAATGAACCCACCAGGGCGCCTTGCGACACAGCTCGCCCCGGGGCAGCACGGCGCTCCTAGCCTCTCCCAGTGTGCCAGGGCTCACCACGCTGCCTCTTGGACAAGCCCCTGGGCAGCAAATAAAGATAGGCCTGATTTGAGAGCTTGTCCCTGCTCTCAAGGAAGTTACAGTCAAGTAGACCCTTACCTCTACCAGACAAGAGCTCTGGTCTGGACCCCCGGTTCCTCACCCCATAGCCTGCAGGAGGTGGGCAGACAAGCATCTCCCCACCCCAGCCCCATCACCAGGGCACCCAAGCTCATCTCCTCTCTTTCCTCCCTGAACACCCACAGCTCATCAAGTCCTGGCAATTTACTCGTATGTATTTTTTTAATGATCTGACCTTCTCCTTCCAGATGGTGCCTTCCCTGCCTGAGGCTGGGGACGTTATAAGAAAATGGAGTCACTGTTCCCCATCTGCCACTGCCATTGTTCCCGTCACAAAACCAGAGTGGCGGAGACCAAATTAGAAGGCTGCTGTCGCTGAAAATTGAAAGCCTGCTTGGGATAAGTGACATTAAGAACTGGCACCGATGGCAGAGCCGTGATTTCCAATTGATGCTAAGTGGGGGCTTATTTAGCACCTGGCTCTGTTTGCCAGCACCTCCTGGGCCTGAGAGCCCCCGTGGGACACAGGGAGCAGCTCCAGGGTTACAGCTCCCCCAGTTCCCTCAGAACAACCCCCTCTGGTCTGCTAGATGAGCCCGGGCAGATCACACCTCAGCCTCCAACTTGCTGTGTGACACTGAGCCAGGTACTTACCCTCTCTGAGCGTGAGGCCTCAACTAGAAAATGGGGAAAGAAGTCCATCCATCTGGAGTTGTGAGCACTGGAAATGATATACATCATGCCTAGCAGACACCAAGCACTCAGGAAGTAGCAGCCATGATGGTCACTGTCCTTGCTGCTCATGGTCTAACCGCTGCTATCCCTGAGGGCAGCTGAGCCCATCATGGGCCCTGCCCTGCTTCTCCAGCCTGACCTGCCTCCCAGACTCCTACTGGGCTCAGTCCCAGCATTGTGCCTTTACTGCTCTCCTTGAGCTTCCCAAACTTAAGGCCACCTTCCAGATGCTGCTCACACCTCCCCAGCACCACGGAGATGCTTCTGGCCATAGCCACAGATGTCAGGCTGGGCCAGACCTCAGCAGGCATCTCATCCAACCACCTGTCCCCTGCAGAGGGCAATGGTGTCCAGGGAGGCCAGACAAGTGGCACAGTCTCCCAGCTGGGGTAAAGGGTCGGGCTCCAAGGCCATGGCCTCGCCCCCACTCCTGGAGAGCAGACCCATCCCTCCCAGCTGCAAGGTATGGGCAGATTCCACCACCATCCTGTGGGACAGGGGTGAGGGTCTAGAACATGGCAGGGTCTAGAACACACTTTGCACACTGCCAGGGCTGTGCTCAGGACCCAGCAGCTGGAGTCATGATTGCAAGGAACACTGGCGTCAGTGTGACGACACGGGCCGGAAAACTAAACCAAGTGAGAGGCGGCAAGGGAGGGCACAGCCCCGCATTCAGGCTTGCTGCCTTGGGCCACCCGGATATATCCCTGTGAGTCTGGCATTAGCCCATGGCCTGCCAGGCCCATGTCCCCTTGAGAGGTGGGAATGAGGAGCGCCATGGGTGGAAGGAGCTCCACCCAGGGAGGGCAATGTAGATTTGTGAGCAGAGCAGGTGGTGAGGGGAAGGCTCCAGGAAGGGAACTCAGGGAGCCGCTTGCCTTACCTCTTCCTTCTCTGGGACCTTCCATCTACAACCCTGTTCTGGAGTTTTATTAACAAGAACCTAGCTGGTAGAAAGAGGCCCTATATGAATTGTGTGTGTGACCTCAGAAAGGCCATTCCTCATCTAAGATGCAGACACCCCTGTCCTAGGAGCCTCTCTCACAGCTCCTGTGTGCCAAGTGCTGGCTATCTAGGTATTCCCATCCACCATCTCCCCACATTTTCACGAGAGCCCCATGCAGGAGGCACTGGCATTTTCCCCATTTTCTGGTGGAAAATCCAAGGCATCTCAGAGTTAGTTTGCTGGGATGACAGAGCTGGTCAGTGGCGGAGCTTGGAAGGGAACCCACATGGTCTGGCTCCATTTCCCATGGCACTGAGGATCACCACTTACTGCTTCTCAACCCTTCCTGTGTGCCTAAGATTGCCACAGGGCCCTTGGAGACCTAGTCCAAGTTACAAATGGAAAAACTGGGTCTCGGGATGGAGTCTGCCCTTCCCAGGACCACAGAGCATGATGCCGGCCATGCTGGGATTTGAACTGGGTCCCCAGATTCCCCAGAGCTCCCTGCCCCTCTGAAGGGCAGAGGTGGTCCCCTCTCCCAGATACCAGGTCCCACACTGCATCCCTCTCCTTTCTCAGTCTTCAGATTATGATCCTGACACACTGTAGTCAGGGAAGGAGGAAGGTACAGAAAATAAAATAAATGAATAACATCCTGTGTGAATAAATGTTTTTAACATATTCTGTTTCTAACGGGCTCATATTATCATCCCCTCCCAAACCAGGCACTGCAGATTAAAAAAAAATACTGGCAAAATAAAAGAAACAAATTATTCAAGCCCCAGGGGAACCCAGGCATTCAAATAAGATTTCAAATGACTCTCCTTCCATTAAAACTTTTGCTGCAGTGAAGCTGTGTGGAGATAAGGCAGCCCAGCGTCTTCACAGGCTGCCGAGAGCTGGGGCTGCCTGAATCGCAGTCTCCCGACTCTCCAGCACCAAGCCCCACCCAGCTAAAGCATGTGTGGTTCAAACAGGAGATTCATCTGCTTTTAAAGCAGGTGTGTACATGGGGCTTGGGGGACACTTCCCAGGATGGAAGTCGTGCATGGAGTTGGGAGGGGAGCACATGGCCCAAGGGGCGGGGTAGCCACGTTAGCCTTTCTGAGGGCCTGAATTCCCAAAGTCTTTTGCCAGGGACAGGGCAACTTCTGCTTAAAACCCTGTCTACACCCTCTAAAGGCCTCCTAGTTACCCAGAAACATCCAGCTGAGACCAGAGCAATATCAGCGCTGGGTCCAAGAAGGGATGGGCTGAGTCAAAGCCTCTGGTCCAGGCTCCTCTGCAGGCAACCCCTCCCCATTCCCCTCCACCTCCACACCTGCCCTACCCATGCCCTCTCCACACAGCAGCCAGAGTGACCCACTTAAATGAGAATCGGATTGGAACACTATCCAGAACAAATCCCATATGGCTCTCCCCGGCTTCCCAGAAAACCCACCCCAATGCACCCATCCACCTACCACTCTCCCCGTCATCCTCCAGGGCTGGCCGCTCTGGGCTTCCCTTTGTCCCGAACTTGGGGCCTCTGCACTTGCTGCCCCCATGCCCAGATCACTCTGCCCAGATCTTGGCAAAGCCTCGGGGGTCCCCCAGATGGCAGCCCCAGCCTAGCTCTGTACCCTGCACAGCACACCCCTCCTTGCAGATCTGCTCCCCATTTGATGTCCACCTGCCCTTCATAAATCTAAGTTCCTTGAGAACAGGCATCACTGTTTTTGTCATTATTCTTTCCCCCATGCCCAAAATTATGTAGAGTCTCAATAAATAGTTTTTTATTAATGAAAACCATCAGTGACAAATTAGGACAAGGTCCTAATTTCTTTTCTTTTTTTTTTTTTTGAGACAGAGTCTCACTGTATGACTCAGGCTGGAGTACAATGGTACAGTCTCGGCCCACTGCAACCTCCGCTTCCTGGGTTCAAGCAATTGTATTTTTAGTAGAGACACGGTTTCGCCATGAAACCAGGGGGTGCTGAACACCTGTCTCAGCCTCCCAAAGTGCCGGGATTATAGGCGTTAGCCACCATACCAGGCCAAAGGTCCTGACTTCTTTCCAGAAATGTTTTGAACCCTATTGGAAATGTATGCTTCTCTATAAAAAGATCACATCAGAAACAAAAACCAAAAAAAATGTCTTGCTATTGGCTGGCATCGGCAAATGGGAACTGTGGTGCAGAGAGCGAATGACAGCTCGGCCTGGAGGGGACGTAGGCCTCTATCAACTCAAACCATGGACAAGTAAAGTAATTATGACTAATGAATGCAGTCTGCAGACAGCCTCTCGCCAAGCCAAGGAAGTAGAATGAATGGGCTGGAGACTGGGCTTTGGAGGCAGCCCAGATCTGCCGCTTCCTGCTGTGTGACCTCAGGCAAGTCCCGGCACCTCTCTGAGCCTCAGAATCCTCAATGGAAAAGAGATTCTCAACAGACTAACTCTTAGGACTACTGTGAATGTTTGATGAAAAAGATGCATATAAAATGCTCAGAAAAGTGCGTGTAAATATCCAAGTATATGTGTATTCATATCATGGCGTGCACAGGAAGAAAAATATGGTAAAGAGGTCTTTGGTCTTTGAGAGTCAGTATAGTCCCACCTGCACCATTTTTCTGGGTAACAGCTTTATTGAAATATAATTCAGTTACCATAAAATGCACGCTTTTAAAGTGCACACGTTTAGACCGGGCATCATGGCTCATGCCTGTAATCCCAGCACTTTGGGAGGCCAAGGAGGGTGGATCACAAGGTCAGGTGATCAAGACCATCCTGGCCAACATGGTGAAACCCTATCTCTACTAAAAAAAAAAAAAAAAAAATAGCAGAGTATTGTGGCAAGTGCCTGTAATCCCAGCTACTCAGGAGGCTGAGGCAGGAGAATTGCTTGAACCCGGGAGGTGGAGGTTGCAGTGAGCTGAGATCACGCCATTGCACTCCAGCCTGGGCAGCAGAATAAGACTCTGTCTCAAAAAAAAAAAGCACATGTCACTGATTTTTGGTGTAGTTGCAGAGTTGAGCAACCACCAACATCTAATTTTAGAATGTTTTCATCACTCCCACCCAAGAACCCCTTAGCAGTCATTCTCCATTCCCCTCTCCTCCCAGGTCCCTGGCAACCACTAATTTACTTTCTGTTGAGTTCCATCAATTCCTAGCTGGGGAAACTGAGGCTCGGAGAGGGGAAGTGATTTGTCCAGGGTCACAAAGCAGAGCCTCAGGACTCAGGGCTCTGGCTCCAGCTGTTTCTCTACCATACCGCCTCCCTCCCACTTGGGAGCCTCCCTGCCCCCAACTGACCCTGAACACCCACTGTACCCTCACACACCCCAAACCTCCCCTCTCCGCATCCTTACCCTCCGAGGCACTCTGCCTCGGAGCTATACTCACGGAGTCCAATTTTGGCCAAATGTAACCTGTTGACCCAGGAAATCTTGCTCAGGGGGTTGGGGGTGATGAAAACCACCATGAAGCTGATGGGGCGGCCGGACCTGCGGTGAGAAGGGGAGGGTGGATGTGTGAGTGCCCTCACAAGGGCAAGGCTCCCCTGGCTGTCATGTAGTACTTCCTCCAACCCACGTACCCCAGAGATCAGGGAGGTCTGGTCACAGCATCCCCAAAACGTGGCCAAAGAGGCCAGTGGCTTGGCAAAGTCTCGATCCCCTGATTCCTCCACCCACAATGGCCCCGAGGGAGGTACCTGGCCAGAGTGGCCGAGCCACACTCCCCAGTCTGGCTCCAGGAGCCTCTGGCTTTGTGCCCGGCAGAGCCTCTGCAGCCTGCAACTCCACCTGGTCAGTGGTCAGCTGTCCACAGGCCTTAGACACCTTACGTGTCTGACCACGTGCCTCTGGAGGGAGGAATGGGTCTCACTTGGGTCTGTTCCCAGCACCTGGCATGGGGTAGTTGCTCATTAAATGTTTGCTGAGTGGACACATGAATGAATGAATGATGAATGAAGAAATGAATGAATGGGGTTGGACACCAGCTTGGGACAGCAACCAGAGGTTGCTGTGGTCACCACACTGTCCTCTCAGCTTGGAACAGTGGGGGCCTTCCCAGCCCTTTGAGGGGTGGGCAGGGCAGTGTCCCAAGCCTCTAGGGTGCACATGGAGAATGGGAGGCAGACAGAAGGGAGACAGGAGAAGGGAGATAGGCAGATCACTTGGCAGGGAGGTGGCAGATTCAAAGCTGTTGAGGCTCACCCTCAGCATGGTCCTGTCTCAAACAACAGTGCTCCAACCTTCTCTTCCTTGCAGCCACTGTGCTTGTGATACTCTGTCTCCACCTTCACTCCACCCTGGAGGCCAAAACCTGGGCACTGAGCCCACTCATTGCACTGGCCTGGGCTTCAGAGTCAGACCCCATCGGAACCCAGCTCTGCTTCTCACAATGTGGCCTTCAGCCTCTCCTGCAACTCTCTGAGCCTTACCTTCCTCATCTGTAAAATGGAAATAAGAAGACCCACCTTACAAAGCCTCAGGAGGACCAGAAAGATATATTTCCCTGTCTCTGCCGGAACAAGCAGCTATGTCTATCATCAATTCCACAAACCTCAGTTGGGGTCTACTGTGCACCACTCCTGTGGTGGGCATTTTGGGGATGAGGTGGTGCTGCGGGGAGGCTGGGTCCAAAGACAGGAAACTCAGGGCCTGGCCCGGGGACCTAAATAGACTGTGTGACTGAAAAGGACACAGTGCAAATGGAACTGACCAGTGGCAGAGTGTCTGAGTATCCTAACAGTGGGCTGGGCTTATCCAGGATATGAACAGGGTGTTCATTCATTCATTCATTCATTCATTCCACAATATTTTCATGAGCAACTACTACACGCCAGGTGCTATCCCAGACATGGCCCTCAACGCCTATGTATCCACTCCTATCACGGCATCCTGACAAGAGGGCTGCAGGTACCCTCTCCAGATCCCCTGCTCCTCTGGTAGCACAGCAGAGGCAGCAACCCTCCCTCCAAGACCCCCTTCTCTCACTTGTCGGGTTTCCCAGGAAGCAGGAGCCTGAGGCGGCACTTGTTAGCTGAGTGGATCTCTTCCTCCTTCACCCGCATCAGCCTCTGCAGGGCCAGGCACCAGTCTTGAGCCACAGTCATGTTCAGGTTCTAGGGTTCGGGAGGCCAATGAGGTCACCACACAGCCCATTGGCTCCCCAGAAGCCACATCAGAGCCTATAGGAATCACAGCACCCAGGGGAAGAGGAATAGAAGGAGCCCCGGAGCCTCGCTGAGACGGCACATTTAGCCTCAGGCAGGGCCAACTCGCCATGCCCCAGGCTTCCTAGCCCTGGGCTCAGATGCCACCTGGCAGCCCTCCTCTGACAGGGATGCACTGTCCCAGCCAGCTTCCCCTCCAGACTGTGCAGAGGCCCAGGAAGGGGCCACATGACCGAATGACCACTGTGCAGAGAACAAAGGCCCCACAGCCAGGATCCACTCAACCTGAATCAGAGATTGCACCCGAACCAGGGGCCACACACGAGATTTCCAGGTAGGGACACACAGCTTCAGCAGCGACGGTTGCCTATGGGTGCTCAGAAGCCAGGAGCACATCTGGGGCATGGGCCAGGAGAGGAACCTCTCCCTACTCGGCTTCTGAATCTATGTACTGCCCACAGCAGGGAGCTCAGGCCACGTACCTGGTAGGTGCCGTGCAGCGTGCTGACGAGAAGTGTGATCTGCTCCACCACAGCCAGGTCCTTCTGCAGGTCCTGAAGCTCCTGGAAGAGGCGCGGGGGGCCGAGGTACACTTTATCTGGGCAGAGAAGAGATCAACTCAGGCTCAGGTGGAAAAGGCGCTAACAAGAAGCCAAGCATCTGCTCACAACAGAAAAGAACCAGAAAGTGACGTTATCTGGTTCCTGCCCTGACGGAGCTCCCAGACTAGCTGGGAAGCCAGATCCTTTCACGGATGAAGTCTAACGCCTGAGATCCAGGCCATAGTCAGTCTGTACAAAGGGCTATATGGGACCACAAGACCAAAAGCAAGGTGTGCCTGGGAGAGACGAGAAGCCTCTCTGGGACTGGAAGTGAGTGTGGTGAGCACTGCCGAGAGAGAAAGACAAGAGCATGTGCAAAGGCACTGTGGCTTGAGGCAGCCATGACCAGCAAGTTGTTCAAAGGCATCCTGAGAGCCCATCGTGTGCCAGGTTCCATGCTAGACTGGAGAGACAGCAGCACACAAGACAGACAGGGTTCCCACTCTTCTGGAACTTAAAACCTGGGCAGGACGAGTGGTGAAGGAGCAGTCAGTTAACGTGGTGGGTGGTAGGAGATGGTGGGGAGAAAGAGATCAGGGTGGTGGGACAGTGATGGGGTGAGGGGGCCCAGATCCCTGGTGATGATACAAATGGAGTAAGGGTGAGATGGGGGTAGGTGGCAGCAGCTAGAGAAAAAGTAGGAGGGTCCGGGAGGACCAGATGGGGAAGGCCTTGAATGCTGGGCTAGGCATTTGAACTGTATTCTCTAGGCCATGGTTTTGCATGCTGAGGTCTTATGAAACCCCAGGAGAGTAGAAGAAAAGCCTTATTTGGGGTCTTCGTTTAGATAATTATGTGAAAAACAGGTGCACATCCTGAGTCACCCACATGGAGTGAGTTTAAAGCCATGCTCTGCTGCCTGGTATCAAGGCTTCCATGGACTATGGCACCTGAAAGGTCACTGGGTAACAAGCAAAGAGCACGGCAAGCTTGGGATGTGGACGACGTGCTTGCATCAAAGAGGGGTTCTGCAGTGGCCCAGACTCGGGGAGCTCATGGGAAATGCAGATCCCCGCAGGGCACCCTGTGGCACAGGCACGCAAACATGGGGAACCTCTCACCAGGGCCTGTGCCACGCCCACATCGCAAGCAAATTGCTTTCATCAAAACAACACCATCCGTCACATGACATTAACGCTGTTAATTTGAATGCTATGGTTTTGTAGCTTTCTTTTTATTCAATTTGTGATCTGGTTTTGGTTTTATGGTTCAAGGGCTATAAGCAGAAGGAGTTGATTGCAGGGAGTTGTGCATTTGTATAGATTTGAATAATAATTTAATGAAGGGTTCCACAGAACTTCTCTTGCCCCTTTAGAAGGGGTCTTGCAGCTCATGACTCTGAGGAATGCCGCTACAGTTACCTCATTGTCACTGAAGGAGGGATCTCCTAAGCATCCCTGGAATGCATGAAGGATGCCAGACTGCGCGGGTAGCAGAAGGGAAGCCTGTGCCCCAAGCGGCGGCGAGGGAGGGTGCCATCAAGCCAAGGCAGAAGGTGTCTCTAAGGAAGGCTCATGGGGTGGAGGACTCTTCCTACCCCACAGAGCTGCAGAAAGAGACAGCATCTGGAAGTGGGCACAGCTGCCCCGGCCCAGCACCCAGACAGCAAGAGTAGGTGGTATAATCGCTCCCTCAGAATTTCCAGAATTGTGGACAGCCCATAAGGCAACCTCCTGGGTCAGATGGTGGACAGAGAGGGAAGTGAAACTGCGGTGCCTTTCTCACTTGTGGAAGATGTCCCTGGGCACAGGGCTCCTTTCTGCTAGCCCTGCAATTTAGCATCCTTCATGCATTCAAGGAACACTTATTAATGCCCACCATGCCCTGGGCTCCCCGGACAGGTGGGCAGCCAGGCTGAGGGGAGAGATGTCAACCAATCAATCATCCATAAAAGGGAAAATGCACTGGCGGTCTCGAGACCATGGAGGAGCCACCTGGCCCAGCAGGAGGGCATAAGAAAAGGCTGCTCTAAGGAAGTGCCATTTGAGCCAAGCTCAGATGAGACAAAAACAAGATGGCAGGAGAGTACTTGGCAAAAGGCAGACTGGAGAGGACTTGGTGGGAAGCAGCGCGGCCCATCTAGGAACCCGGAGAGCCAGCGTGGCCACAGCAGAGAAAAGGGGCAGTGGGAGGTGAGGTGGAGGCAGGTGGGGCACCCCCAGGACCAGCTATAGGAAGCCACTGGGGCAGGGATGACACGCACTGAACCGACCTGCATTTTGAAGAATCAGCCCTGGAGATGGGCAGAGGACAGACAGGAGGAGAGAGGTAGGGCAGCCAGGCAGTTGCCATAGCAGGACAGGGTGTGTCATGGCCAACATGGAGGCAGAGCAAAGTGTGTGGGTTGGAAGACACACCTGCACACACCAAGGTGAGGTCTTGGCTCTGCATTTTGGTCTAGGGTGGGGCCGCAAAACCAGGACAAACTTCCCAGACAAGCCCAACAGCCTGTTTAGGGGTCCCTGAGACAGGGCCAAGCCTGGGTAGAAGCAGCCCAGGTGGTGGCTGGTGAGGGCAAGGGTGATGCACTCAGGGCACAGGGAAGGGGGTACTCACTGTGGGCCTGCCCTGAGGCGGGGGCCTTCTTGGCACCTGCGTGCTGGATGAGCACGTTGTCCTTGTCATAGGTGCCACCGTCCTGGCCCACCTCCACCACCTGCACCTGGGGCAGCGCCGTGTTCCACTTCACCACATACTTGGGCCCCAGGGGCACCAGGCTGCTGATCTCCAGTTGGCCTCTGTTGGGACAGAGAGGACGAGGCCCTGGAGAGTCTGCAGCCACCCCACCCAGGGCTGGCCCAGGGCACTGCTCCTCCACACTAGCTCAGCCAGGCTTCACGCAGCCGCAGCACAAAATCTCAGACCAAAACCAAGCCAGGCAGAGCAGGGAGTCCTTGCCAGGTCAGAAGCACCAGGCGCCCAGGCCCCAGCCCCATATCCAGAATCACATGCCCCCAGAGCCCTGGAGCCCCAGAGTCCCCTGAACCACGTACCTGTGGTTGGCAGGCCTAGGAAAAAAGACAAGGAAAAGGAGGTTGTTATTACAATGGAGTGGCTAATCTGGGGCCTGAGACCCCACTGGGGGCTGGCCATGGGGCTGGGCATCAGGAATGGAAGGAGGGACAGTCTCCTGTGGGGAATGAGGGCATCAGAGGGCAGGTGTGGATGGAGGCGGGCCTTCCTCCATCTCTGAGTCTCACAACAGCCCTGCAGGGAAGCCAGGTGTGGACAGAAGCGGGCCTTCCTTCATCTCCAAGTCTCACAACAGCCCTGCTGGGAAGCTTGGATGAATCCCAGACAAGGATGCTGAAGTGACTCAGCCCAAATCACCCAAACTGATTCCCCAAAGCTGGGCTACTAGCACCCCACTTTGTACTTTGTGCTAGAGCAACATGAAAGAAGAGAGGGTCTTCCTCATACCACTGGCATAGCATAGTGCCCAGGACATAAATGGGACTGAAGAATTACCATCCCTGAATGAGTGAGTGAGTGAGTGAATGAATGAATGGGTCAGCCACAGGCACCACCCACACCCATCTGTGACAGAGGCTTCCTTGCCTAAGTCCCCAAGCAGGCCCTGAGCTCCTGGAGGCGGGGGCTGGGTCTCGTTCAGAGCTGTGAACTGGCGCAGAGCCAGGGCACAGTGAGTGAGCGCACAGGTTCCCAAACAGCCCTGCTTGTCCCCTTCCAGGACTTGTGATTGGTAACCATGGAAAATCCCCAAACCTGCTCTGTGGCCAAACACAGGAAGGCCCAAGCCAACTCAGTACAGAATCTAGATCAGGTTCCGCAGGCACTGATTCAGCTGGGGGCAGGGAGAGCTATGCTCAGATTCACATTCACCCGAGGTGATTGTTCCCCTCCTGGATCTTGGTGATTGTGGCCATACTATTGCTCCTGTGATGCTTTTTAAAGTGGTCTCGAGGCTAGGCACAGTGGCTCAGGCCTGTAATCCCAGCACTTTGGAAGGCCAAGGTGGGCAGATCACCTGAGGTCAGGAGATGGAGACCAGCTTGGCCAACACAGTGAAACCCTGTCTCTACTAAAAATACAAATATATGTCTATTTGCATTTTTATAATACAAAAAATATATACATACTTTTCTATGTATATATATATCTAGGTGTGGTGGCGGATGCTTGTAATCCCAGCCACTCGGCGGGGTTGAGGCAGGAGAATCATTTGAACTGGGAGGCGGAGGCTGCAGTCAGCTGGGGGCTACAGTGAGCCGAGATCACACCACTGCACTCCAGCATGGGACACAGAGCAAGCAAGACTCAGGCTCAAAAATAAAAATAAAATAAAGTAGTGTCAAATATTAAGAGCAGAGATTCTTTTAAGAGCCTGGCTACAAAGGCCACAGCTGGAGCTCTCAGGGAGCAATTGATAGAGGGTCCCAATCACTGACACCTGTAGGACCAAGCAGGGGTTGTGAAGGGGTGAACTGGGCCAGGCTGGGCAGGGAGGCTGGAGAACAGCAAGGCCTGAGCCCCCGCACCAGGCCCCCGCATGGCCTCAGGCAGCCAGACCCCAGAATACTGGATCTCCCTGTATGAGCAAAACATAAGATGCCCAGAAGCCTAATGCAACTGATGGGCCACATTTTTAGGTTCTGGCCTAAAGCCTCACCCTCTCTCCACACCAGGGCTCCAGCTCTCAGGCACAGCCCAGCAGCCAGGCTCTGGGCATTTCCACAACCCCTGGCCCAGAACCAGGAAACCAGTCTCCTGTGGGCCGATGGTGACGCTCTGATCTGTGGGGGAAAGACAAAGACTCCCCTTGAGAAATTCTGCAATCAGTCTGGAGCAAAACAGATCTGAGTTAAAGCCACAGGGAGCCGAGGTGAACGCAGGAAAGAACATCTTGAATTTCGCTGTGGCCAAAACCACCATGTAGTCACCAGCTGCAGAGTTTCAGAACAGACAACCCTGTACTGTGGACAGCTGTGTGACCAAGGCTGAGCACTGTCCCCAATGACTGCTCTAGGTACTTCCTGGCATTGGGGACCAGTGGCATGACAGGACAAGAGGGATGGGAGAGGAATACTGGAGGCCTAAGCCAAGCTTACATGGGGTCCCACCACAGAGCAGCCAGCCGAGAGGCTGGAGTAGGACGGGGTGGGGTCTCCAGGGAGGGGTGATTGCCCCCTCCAACCCAGCCCCAGCCCAGGCCTGCTTACTTGAAGTTGATGTTGGCACAGACAAGCATGTCATTGAGCAGGAAGACCCGACGCTCCTTGGACTTGATTAGCTGCCCTCGGTCACCATACACTGTCTCTGTCAGCGTCTCACACAGAAGCAGCTGCCGCTGGCCAGAGGTCAACAGCTGGGGGAGGGGCAGGGAAGGTCAGCATCAGCATCATGGCCCAGTGGCTTTACTGTGCCAGAGACCCAGAACTCTCCCATGGTTCAGAAAGGGAGACTGAGGCTGGGAGAGGCAAAGAAGGAGGTGGTGCTACTCCCTCCATCCCAGGGTAACAAGATGCACTGGGGAGGAAGGCCAGAGGACCACATGATGGGGTCTCCTCTCTGGAGAGGCCTTGGGGAGCCTGAGAATTCACCAGTACCCACGTGGGCCCAGCAGCCAGCGCCCCCTTCTCAGGTGAGCCAGCCATTGCCAGCCCTATCTGTGGGTCCTGTCTGATTGCCATTGTCAAGGACACAGCTCTGGGGTTACAGAAGTGGCTTTGCCCCCATTCCCACTCCTGCTGTGAAGCCCTCAGGGAGCTCACTTCACATGTCCAAGCCTCAGTTTACTTAGCTACCAAGTGGGGACAGTCACCTCTACTGCTCAGATCACACAAGGTAATGAACATATGACTAGGTCTGGCTACACCATTCTCGGGGTCCAGTGCAAAATGAAAGTTCATTCCCAAAACCGGTGATTCTTGTCCAAAAGTGACTGTGAATTCCAAGATGGCCACAGCAGAACAGGAAAGCAAGCATAGGGCCCTTCTGTGCACTGGCCACATGTGACGGCACAAGTCATGGCTGAGAGCCAGCTCTGCATGTGTGCTCCACAGACAGCCACTGTCCGCGATAGTCTTCATGGTGGAGCAGGCATGGCCTTGCCAGGGGAACCCAGCCCGCATCCTGGCCTGCTGAAAGCCTTGGCCCATCTCACCTCTTAGGTGGCCTCATGATGGAGTTGGAACAAATCTGCTGGTCAATAACGCCACCCTCTCAAGACAAAGACTTTCATACCCCAGGCATCCGAGCACGTGTTTGCCAACCTAAGGCTGGATGTCAAGACCCCGCTACTAGTGTCAGGGCCACTAACCCATCCAGGGACCCCCTGGGAAAACATCTTTTTTACTAATGGGATTTCTTCTAGGGAGAAAGAAGGATATGCAGCAAAATTCATTCCCAAAACCCGTGACTGTGACAACAACCATTACTCTCCCCTTCCTTCCCCATTTTGTTTGGAAAAAGGACAGATCACCCCGGGCCTCCCCAGAGAGAAAAAGACAGATCACCCTGAGCCTCCCTAGAGAGCAAAAGACAGATCACCCCAAGCCTCCCCAGAGAGAAAAGGACAGATCACCCCGGGCCTCCTCAGACAGAAGAAGACAGATCACCCCAAGTCTCCTCAGACAGAAAAGAACAGATTGGCCGGGCGCGGTGGCGCAAGCCTGTAATCCCAGAACATGGGGAGGCCGAGGCAGGTGGATCACGAGGTCAAGAGATCGAGACCATGGTGAAACCCCGTCTCTACTAAAAAATACAAAAATTAGCTGGGCATGGTGGCACGCACCTGTGGTCCCAACTACTTGGGAAGCTGAGGCAGGAGAATTGCTTGAACCCGGGAAGTGGAGGCTACAGTGAGCCGAGATCGCACCACTGTACTCCAGCCTGGTGCCTGGCAACAGAGCAAGACTCTGCCTCAAAAAAAAAAGAACAGATCGCCCCAAGCCTCCCTAGAGAGAAAAGGACAGATCACCCCGAGTCTTCCCAGAGAGAAAAGCACAGATCACCCGAGTCTCCACAGAGAGTAAAGGACAGATGACCCCAAGCCTCCCTGGGAGAGAAAAGGACAAATCACCCTGAGGATCCCCAGAGAGAAAAAGACAGATCACCCCAAGTCTTCCCGGGACAGAAAAGAACAAATCACCCTGAGGCACCCCAGAGAGAAAAGGACAGATCACCCCGAGCCTCCCCGGGACAGAGAAAGACAGATCCCCGAGCCTCCCTGGGAGAGAATGCTGTTGTTCTGCAAAGCATCATCTCTTTCAAGTCGGTACACAACTAAAAGTCCCAGTGGGACCAAATACCCAGTGTGTAGCAGGCACTGAGGATGGTACTTAGTATTTCACATCTCACTGAATCAGCTCAGCAGTCCTCGAGGCCATCCCCATTTCCCAGGTGAGGAAACCGAGATTCAAGAGATAAAGTGACTTGCTGAGACCCACCCACTGTTGAATGTCAGATGCCAAAGGACAGAGCCAGGCCATGTTCACCGTTCCCTGTATTGAGCAGCCAGCGCACAGTGTGACAGGAGCCAGGGGAGGCCCCGCCACTCCTAACATGCAGGAGGACTCAGGGTCCCCCCACAGCTGCTAAGGCCAGGCTCCCCCTCACTATTTCCACAAGCAAACCAAACATCAACTCAAGAGAACACTACTTGGACCCTGAAGACAGCAGGGCCCCCACGCTGAGGGCTGCCAAGTGTGCCATGACCCAAAACTTGAAAGAGGAAAGTCCCCTGGGCTCTAGCAGTCAGCCCCTGCCCCTTTGGCAGATGAAAAGCAAGAAAAAGAAAAAAGGAAACCAGAATATTGCACAAATGTCCCTCTGGAGGCTCCTGCGTAGGCTATTTTGAAACAGCTGGCATGCTTCCGTTTCGGGCTTCACCCGGTTTCGTTTCCACTTCTCCCCGGGTGATGGTGAGAGGGACATCACTGAACACCTAGGACATCTCAGAACTGGCCAGGACTGTCCAGGGAAGGCCCTGGGGGTAGGGGGAAGCCCAGGGTGCGGCCCCCACCACACTATTTCTAACATTCCACACGGCCCAACCCACCCTCACTCAGCAGATAGAGAAACTGAAGCTTAGAGCCCCTGGTCCTTTGCCCGACATCAAACAGGTCTCCCTGACCTCCAGCCAGGGCCCACCTCACAGAACAGGAGAGGGCAGAACGGCTCTTCCCAGGGCAACAACTACAGAATTTATTTCCTCCTCCCAAGAGGCCTCTCCCCACTGCGGCTGCACAGGTGTATGAGGCAAAGCAAGAAAAAGCCTCTTGGTCACCAAAAAGGGAGCTGAAGGTGGGGAGAGGAGAATGTTCCTGAGTACAAAGGCCAGCATGGGTGGCCATGGCGGGGAGGGGTGAAGGCTTTTTCTCTGGAGACATTCCAAACGCAAGGCTCGTGTGGGGGATGGCCAAGTTAGTCCCGCCAGGAAGTGGGGTGGAGAGTGACCCTGCCCTCATGCCCAACCTGAGCCCCGTGGATGGGGACATCCCCAGGAGAGGGCTCCGTCCCCTGCTCATCTCGTCTTCCCCAGCACAATCCTCCTGGAGCAGGTAAAGTGAACCCAGATGCTTTCAAGGCTAGGAAGTAACATAAGTGGGAGAGGAGGGTGGGGCCTAAGGGGAAGCAGGCAGCTGCCACCCAGGGGGCCGGTGCCACATGGGAAGGTGAGCCAGGGAGCCAGCTCTTCCTACCCTTCCAGGAGACCCACAAGTCTGAATATTATATGATCTCTCCCAATTTTTAAATGTTGGCAACTATTGCCAAGTTCTTAAAAGTACTGTTTGGGCCAGGCGTGGTAGCTCATGCCTATAATCCCAACACTTTGGGAGGCTGAGGCAGGAGGATCACTTGATCCCAGGAGTTTGAGAGCAGCCTGGGCAACACAGTGAGATCCCATCTCTCCAAAAAGAAAAACTTTTTTTTAATTAGCTGGGTATGGTAGCTCATGCTTGTAGTCCCAGCTACTCAAGAGGCTGAGGCAGGAGGCTCACTGGAGCCCAGGTGCTCAAGGCTGCAGTGAGCTGTTATTGCACCACTGTGCTCCAGCCTGGGCAACAGCATGAGACCCTGTCTCCAAATAATGAATAAATAAATAAATACAATTTAAAAATAAAATAAAATGTGTGGGCCACAACGCACACCGGCAACCTAAATTTGACCTGAAGTGGGAGAGTCCTAAGACGTGGGATGCCTGAAGCTTGGTGCTGCCGGGGACCCTTGAAGGGGGCCTTGTCCCTGCCCCACTTCACAGGCAGTGGGTGGAGAGTAAGGATGCTGATGCCAGCTAGACCATAAAACGCAGCACACATGGAAAGGGGCCACGGTCCCTCTATGCACTCCTTCCTGGACTCTTAGAAAGATCCTCCCCAGGCTGCTGAAACCTCCCTCCTGTGAATGCCAGCCACTGGCCTTTCTTCTGCTTCTAGGACCCCACAGAGCCAAGAGGCTCCCAGTCTATTCCCCAGAAGATGTGAACTTCTCCCTATGACCTCGCCCAGCATCCCTTCTCCAAAGAACAGTCCTACAACATTTCCAGGGCAGGGTCACCCCAGCCTGAACCATCCCAGCCCTCCCCCACCCTCCAGTGGGTGAGCAGGGGGGCTGGGTGTGGGACCTCCCAGAGACCCTGGCACAGCTCCAGGCACCTCACATCGTGTGCTGAGAGGGAAGAAGAGGGAATCTAGTGACCGACAGGTGGCTCTGCAAGGTGACCTGATGCTTTAAAAACAGCCTCCCCTATGGACTCATTTGCTAGTCTTTTTATTTTTCCCCCACTTTGGAGACAGTCTCACTCTGTCACCCAGGCTGGAGTCCAGTGGCACGATCTCAGCTCACTGCAACCTCTGCCTCCAAAGTTCAAGGGATTCTCCTGCCTCAGCCTCCTGAATAGCTGGAACTACAGGCGCGTGCCACCACACCCAGCTAATTTTTGTTTTTTTAGTAGAGACAGGGTTTCACCATGTTGACCAGGTTGGTCTCGAACTCCTGACCTCAGGTGATCCACCCACCTTGGCCTCCCAAAGTGCTGGGATTATAGGTGTGAGCCACCACCACACCTGGCCCAATCTTTTTTTTTTTTCACTAGTATGTTCCTAAGCTGCAACACCAATATGTGGCATGGGCTTTCATCTTTCTCCTTGTGTTAAGGATGGTCAGGAAGCTGCTTTGCTGGCTTACTCATTCACTGCAGCAGCCCTGGGACTCAGGTGCTATTAAATGCTCCTCATTTCAAAGGGAACAAGTGAGGTTCAGAGAGGTTGGGTGATTCCCTCAAAGCCACACAGCAAGCACCTGTGGCCAAATCTGGATTTTTAAACCCAGATCCTGACTCACCAGCACCTGCTCATTTAACTAGGCTATCATTTCTGGAGTCTTTATAGAAATCACGCTGATGCACAAAATGAACTTTTATCCTAAAATAACATGAATAGGAGTGAACGTGGGGGTCCCGATGAGGATCCAATCCTCAAGGTCATGTCTGTGGGCGTGGAAGAACGAGGCCTCCCCTCCCTTGGAGAACACTGCCACCTAGTAAGTGGCACGGGGCAGGGGCACCTGCAGGTGAGAGCAGGCAGGTAAGGGCAGGCAGGTGGGAGGCCCGGCTCACCTTGTTAAGGCTGCTACGGTCGCTGACGCTCTTGGTCAGCTGCTGGATCTCGGCCACCTGGTCAGCCAGCCGTTTCTGTTCGTTCAGCTTCTCGGCCAGCGTCTCCAGCTCCGTGAGGGCCAGCTGGAGTGAAAGCCTGTCAGGGTGACCCCTGGGGGTGTTCTTCAGCATGTCCTGCCAGACCAGAACCAAGACTGAGTGGTCCACCCATGACTGACTCTCCCCTGGCCTGGGGCAAAGCCTCCCCCTCCCGTAGGCGCCCCCCAACCCCACCTATACACACACTGGGTCTGCAAAGGGCCCAGCCTGAGGCCAGGACAGATGGCACCAGACACAGAACAAGACCTCAAGAAACAGCTAATGAATGAAAAAGAAAAAGAAAAGCAGGGATCTTTCTGGGAATAGACCCAAATGAACTGAAAGCAGGATCTCACACAGGTATCTGTCCACCATGTGCACAGCAGCGTTAGCCACAGTTGCCAAAATATGGAGGCAAAACTGTCCATTGACAGACAAATGGGTAATCAAAATGTGGTCTCCACACACAACGGAGTATTATTCAGCCTTAAAAAGGAAGGAAATTCAGACACACTCAGGACATGGATGAATCTTGAGGACCTTATGCTAAGGAAAACAAGTCAGTCATGAAAAGAAAAACATTGTATGATTCCACGTGTATGTGTTCTCCTAGAGCAGTCAAAGTCACAGAGACAGAGGGTGGAACAGCAGTTGCCAGAGGCTACAGGAGAGGAATCAGGAGCTGTTAAATGGGCACAGAGTTTCTGTTTGAGATGATTAAATAGTTCTGGGATGGGTGGTTGGGATGGCTGCAGAACAATGTGAATGCTCTGAACTGCACACTTAGAAATGGTTATGATGGCAAATAAATAAAAGTGTGGATCAATCCCTGATCAATAGGTAAAATGGTATGGATACATTAAGAGCCCACTGCCACAGTCCAGCAGCACTGAGGGGAGAGCGAAAAATGCCACCGGGCCCCTCAGCCTGGTAGCCTCCCTATCAGCTCCCTGATGAGGGCCAGCCCCTGCCCAAGGACCCTTGGTGGTTGGGACAGTGTCCCAAGCTCTCCAGGGCCCTGTGGGGGGCTAATGTCCCTTAGGCATCCCCTGTTCTGAAGCTGGAGCATGAACTGGCCAAGCTCAGCATGGTTACTGAGCATCTCCTCCATGCCAGGGGCCCCGACGGTCCTGGGATGCCCTGTGCCTTCACTCCCTTCCTGCAACCCAGGCTCAGGCCACCAGCAGTCCCTCGGCATTCCCCACAGAGGGACATGCAAACTGAGCTCTCAATTATGATCAGTTTCACTCTAGAAGTGGGGAAAGATGAGGCCTGAGTCCTACAGCAGGTGGGGTGGGTTATGCATCATGGACAAGGGCCCAAACCTCCTGCCTCCCACCCTAGGAGTTCCTCCCAGCCCACAGGCAAACCCTGTGGGTCAGGGCTGCTGGAATCCCGAGCGGTACCTGAAGCAGGAGGATAAACTGTGGGAACCTCTGGATGGGCTTGACCATCAGTCCGTAGAGGGTGACACGGTCTGGGCTGCACACCTGCCGTCGCTGGTGGAGACAAGGTTCCATCATTTGCTGACCCCCTGCGGAGACTCTGGGCCCAATGCCCCAGAGTCCAGATACTGTCCCCATCCTGGGCTCCTCTCCCCAGGTCCCAAGAACCTGGGCTTGCAAGAAGAGCTGAGGGAGCTTCCACAGCCAGGGATCCCTCCCACCACCAGGGCCACTGCATGGCCACAAACCTTCAGGAGACTAAAGCAGTCATTTTAAAGTCTCTGAACTAAAGGTATAACTGGGAAACTCCGCAATTTATTCAAGACATCAGACGTCCAGAAGTGGCCAAGGCAACCATTCCCTCCACTTAAACTAATTGCAGACAGGCCTGGGCTAAAGTAAGGGGTGGGGCACAGGGGGACCTCCTGTCCTGTCTCTTGCATCCGTCCCCCACTCCATCCACACACCTGTTACCTGGTCCTGGCCCCCATATGCTGCAATCCCACAGTTTCTCCACTTGCCTCCACTTCCATCTGCCCCAGCTCAAATCCTTCAGTGGCTCCCCAGTGCCTGAAATATTACATCCTGGGCCCTGGGCCTGGAGGTCTAGAACCATTCAAACTGAACTCAGCTGCCTCTCAATGTGCACACCAGGCCTTCTCTCCTGGGACTCCCCAACAGGAATCAGTGCTTCCAGAATCTAACCCGACCTGCGCTTCCCTCTCCTCTGAAATAGCCTCTCCTCTGTCTTTACCTGGCACAATCTCACCATCCCCCACCAGGGTCCCAAAGCTGGAGCCAAAATGCTCTCTCCATCCTGAGCAATCTCCCTGCCCACCCCTACTAGGCACAGGACCACCGTGGAGGCCCACCTTGAGGAACTCGAGGAAGACAGGCTTGGTGAGGCAGGCCTTCTTGATGATGGACATGGCGCTGGTGAAGTTATTCACGTAGTCACTGTACACATCTAGCACCATGGACTTGGAGAACTGAAACGAGGCAGGTGTGGGCCAGGGAGGGCCACCTCAATGCAGAGAGCTGAGGGGCAGCTCACACTCACCCCACACTCCCTCGGGACCTCCAGCTTTGCTGCTGGCACAGCCTGGATGACCTAAATAAGTCTGTGAGGTGTGCAAATCCAACACCCCTACTGGGGTGAGGACACAGGGCTCAGAGAGGTAGAGAGGCTGGCCTAAGGTCACAGGTGGGACAGGGTGGTGCCACAGGAGAGCCCAGGGGGCCTTTGCCTCCCAGGTCCCCTTCCCCAGTGCAGCAGCCCAAGCCCACATGTGTAGGGAGGAGAAAGGCAGGTGAGAGAGGGTGGGGGGAGGAGAAGGGCAGGTGAGAGAGGGTGGGGGAGAAAAAGGGCAAGTGAGGGAGGATAGAGGGAGGAGAAAGGTGCGTAAGAGAGGGTGGGGGAGGAGAAGGGCAGGTGAGAGAGGGTGGGGAAGGAGAAGGGTGGGTGAGGGAGGGTGGGGGAGGAGAAGAGCGGGTAAGGGAGAGTGGGGGGAGGAGAAGGGTGGGCAAGGGAGGGTGGGGGAGGAAAAGGGCAGGTGAGAGAGGGTGGGGGAGGAGAAGGGCAGATGAGAGAGGGTGGGGGAGGAGGAGGACAGTGAGGGAGGGTGGGGGAGGAGAAAGACAGGTGAGGAAGTGTGGGGGGAGGAGAAGGGTGGGTGAGGGAGGGTGGAAGGAATATTCCTTTTCCTACGTTCATGTTCAGGAAATAGAATGCCTCTGGCCCTCTACTTTCAAGGAAAGTGCTCCTGGCCTATCACCAGATGGTGTGCCCAGAGTTGGTTGCCAAGGGAGGGATGGTTTGCCTGTAGTCAACCAACCCTCTCACCAGAACCCCTTGACATATACCCGGGACATCGGACCTATTTAGTTAATCTATCAAGCACTATGGCTTTCAAACAAATTGTTTTTCTTTTAGCAAAACCTAATTACCCAAAACACATCACAGTAGAGTACTACCAACTTGATCTTCCATCACCCCATGAATCTCTGGGGTCCACAGACTTCAGGAGGAAAAGCCAGGAATCCAGTGCATCCCTCATCCCACAGATGGGGAGCCCCCAGAGCGGGGCCTGGACCTGCCCTAGGTTGTAGAACTGAGCTGGGACGAGAACCAGGTCATCTGGATCGTGATCCAGTGCCCCTTCCCCAGCACTGTGACACATCCTCTCAGGGCCGAAGCTGTGGTCTGTGCAAGCATTTCAGTGGCCGGTCACCCTTCAAGTGCCTGGTAAGGGAGCTTACGACCAGCTAGGTGGCTGCCCACAGTGGCTGGGAGGCCAGGAGGAGGTGCTGCTACCTGGGAGAAGCCAGAACAGCGACCTGGCTTCAGCAGCACCACAGCCTTGCCGGTGTGTCCAAGGACATCCTGGCCACTTCAAGGTGTCACACTCACTCCTCGATCAGGCCAGGAAGACTTGGAGGCCCTGTCACCCTCTGACCCCACTGACTTGGGCAAGACGAGCAGGCAGAGGCAGGAGGCTGGACTGCATGGCCCCAGAGTCAGACTGGTTGTGGCTTTACCTTGGTGGGCTGGGGGAAAAGTTTGGGGATACTTACCGAGGCCACAAAAAGGTCCCCAATCTTCTCAGTGGAATCCCACTCAGCCACACGGGAGGACAGGGCGATCTGAAACATGGAGTGGCAGTGCAGGATCTCCTTCACTCGGAAGAACACCACGTGGCACTTGCGGGCGCTCAGTGCCTTGGGCTCCATCTCCATCAGGGGGTTACGGTAGTCCTGCCGGGGAGGGCGGGGTGAGGCCACAGGCCAGGCACAGCCCCTCTCCCTACCTGCCAGCCATAAATGCCATGAATGGGCCTTCCTGTGGTGGGGCAGCAATCATCCCTCACTCCTCATATGTGCTTCTAGAAGGATCTCCATCAACATAACACCCCTGGTCTCACCGGCCACCCGCAACACCCCCATGACTTCTGTGTTAAATTGGTTAGGAGGAAGAGGGTCTCTTTTGGGCCATCTGCCAGCGAGGAGCTCCTTGGAGGCTGGCCTGAGGGTGAAGCTCTGGCTGCCATGGAGCCCGTGAGCGATAAGGTCACTGCAAGCTCCCTGGGCTCCCATACCCAGCGTCACTCTCCAATCACTTTGTCAGAGACAGGTGATACTTCCATCTCTACCTGCCTGACACCTGGGATCCCTCTCTGAGGATCCAAACCCAGGAGAGAATAGAAGGGATCATTAGCAATAATTCCCTGCCCTGGTGGCCTCACTCTGATGCCCACAACATCCCAGAAGAGTCACTGTCTCAGGGATTCAAGCTATAGACCAGGTTGGCACATACTAGTCATGTCGTGCAAGCATCTGCTCAGCAATCCCTGGGCCTCCTGATATGAAAAATTGGACTCCATTTTGGACTTCCGCCCCTCTTGATTCGAGAAAGAAGACTCTATCCTACACCTCTCTAGGCAAGGAAGATTCCATTCTACCCATCTTCCCACCTAAGGATCCCCAGGAGGGTGGGGAGACATGGCCCAAGCCCCAGGGGCTCCCAGAGTGGCAAGGAGGATACAGTCCCTTCTAGGCATACATGGGGCTATATGCCAGGAGTCATTTCAAAGAATCCCAATTCTGTTCAGAAAGAAGCCCTCCCATGAACACCAGGGCATCAGGAATTCTTGCTGTTTACATTTGGAGGTTCTACTGTCCCCATAAAACATTGCTGGCTTATGGTCCTGTCCCCAAACACTCTGTGTAAAGTATCCCTCCAGGGCTCTCCCTTCTCCTCCCCAGAGACCCTTGAGAACTCCCTAAGGTTGCACCTGGAGTATCCGCTTCAGAGACTCCACGTAGCTGCCTTCACTCTGCACGATGGAGCCCAGGATATGCCTCCGGACCACCTGCTCAGGCCAAAAAGCACAGTCAGTGCACGTGACACCTGCTGCATAGGTGACAGGAAGGGGAGCTGATAGCTACAGGACAGAGAAACCCATCCCTCTCAGGTCCCAACTGGGACCACTGGGCCTGGTGGCTGTTCTTCCTTCCAAAGCCCCTGCCCATCCAAAAGGAATGCTCTGCTACCCAGGCTGCAGAATGGAGGAGGAAGGGCACATCCCAGGGCAAGCCCCTCTACACACATATATCTGGGGATGGGGGAATCACCACGCTCCTCCATCATGACGGGTGGCCACCTTCATCTTTGGACAACTCTAATAGAAAATTCTAGGCCAGGCGAGGTGGCTCATACCTGTAATTCCAGCTGAGGTCAGGAGTTCGAGAACAGCCTGGCCAACATAGCGAAATCCCATCTCTACTAAAAATACAAAAATCAGCTGGGCATGGTGGCGCATGCCTATAGTGATAGCTACTCAGGAGGTTGAGGCAGGAGAATTGCTGGAACCTGGGAGGTGGAGGTTGCAATGAGCCAAGATCATGCCACTGCCCTCCAGCCTGGGCAACAAAGCAAGACTCCGTCTCCAAAAAAAAAAAAGAAAGAAAGAAAAGAAAATTCTGTGTTGGCGTTAGTGTAAATTGAATCTCAGCCCCCTTCATTTGTGAATGAAATCCTTAAGCTATCCCTCTTCCACAAGACAGGCCTTGGGGTACCCTCCCACCCCAGAGGTGGTCTCTGCTTCTGACTAAACAGTCTCTTCTTGGCCAGGTGCAGTGGCTCACGCCTGTAATCCCAGCACTTTGGGAGGCCGAGGCGGGCAGATCATGAGGTCAGGAGATGGAGACCATCCTGGCCAACATGGTGAAACCCTGTCTCTACTAAAATACAAAAAATTAGCCAGGCATGGTGGCATGCATCTGTAGCCCCACCTACTTGGGAGGCTGAGGCAGGGGAATCACTTGAACCCAGGAGGCAGAGGTTGCAGTAAACTGAGATGGTGCCACTGCACTCAAGCCTGGCGACAGACCGAGACTCTGTCTCAACAGTCCCTTCTCCTTTCCCTCTCACCAGCACCCTAACCCCACCAGGAGCCTGGCCCACAGAGGCAACCACAACCCCTCAGCAGCTGCCTGTAGCACCCAGCCAAGCACGGTGTGCCCCCCTACACCGTCTCAGCCAGGGATCTTTCCAACACAGTCACCGACTCCCACCCCAGATCTTTGGGGGCTCTGCTGTCCTCCAGACAGGGTACAACCTGGATAACAGGAATTTTGAAATCTTCCCATGTAACTCTACTGTGCAGCAAAGTTAGGATGGTGCTCACAGGAGGTGTCACATGTGAGGGGGCAGAGGGGAAGCCCGTCCCTCTCAATCTAGGGTTGGGAGGTAACTGACCCCCTACTCTACCCTATAGCTACTCTGAGTGTCCATCAGGAGCCCACCACCGCCAGATCCCCAGCCCCTGCCCTGCTCCCTCTGCTGCCTTCTCCTGCCTCCAGCAGGCTCTTCTCCAATCTTACCACTGCACTCCAGCCTGGCCACACAGCCCCAGCAGATGGTAAGACTACTGTCCCATTGTTGATCCACTGTCAACAATCCCCAGGTGTCCAAGCAGCACCCAGAGCAGAGCATAAGGACACTGGGGCTGCCTAACTCCCCGTGGTGGGGCTGTCCCATGCCCGGTAGGATGTCCAGCAGCTTTCCTGGCCTCTACCCACCAGATGCCAGTAGCAACACAAGTAGTGACAACCAAAATTGTCTCCAGATGTTACCAAAAGTCTCCTGGGGGCAAAAATCACCCTTAGTTGAGAACTGCTGGCCCAGAGTAACTGACGCTGCCTGATCCAGAAATTGCACAGGGCTGTAGGGGAGAGGCCTAGAGGCAGCACCAGGAGGAGAGAGTCCTGGGTGGCATGAGCAGGAGGGGGCAGCTCGGATTCTGAGCTGGAGGTCTGGCCTCTCAGGCTCTCATAGCTGGGGCTTCGCCATCTCAAATGCCGTGCTGGGTTGGGCAGGTACTGTCTGTCCATGAGGGAGGCAGGTGGACGGTCATGAATGTGGGAGAGGGAGTGTCCCGAGAGGGGAGCTGCCTGCCCCTACTCTGCTCTGGCCAGCTGCTGGCAGCAGACGCCTGGGCCAGGGTGGCTCTATCTTCCTGGTTTTCAAAAAGGGCCAAGCACAGGATTTTCTGCTGACCAAAAAAAAAGGAAAATCCCTTCCATTGAGCTCACTGCCCTGTTAGATCCTGCTCAGCGGCCTCGCAGGCAGAGGAACCAGGAATCTCACACCGTTTCATGGCTAGCAAAACACAGATTGCAAGGGGAAAATGTGACAGGCAGAGATCCCAGACCAACGCCGCCCGACCTCAGCGAAATGCTCTACAAGATGGAAGCCATCCCTGAAGAGCCACAGCTTCTGGTGGGAGCTTGCGGCAGCACTGAGCCCCAGGGCGAGGACAGGCAGATAGACGGCAGGGGCTGGGCACCTGAGCCCCAGGGTGAGGACAGGCAGATAGACGGCAGGGGCTGGGCACCTGAGCCCCAGGGTGAGGACAGGCAGATAGATGGCAGGGGCTGGGCACCTGAGCCCCAGGGTGAGGACAGGCAGATAGATTGCAGGGGCTGGGCACCTAAACATCTGTAGCCTGCCCCGAGTCTGGGATCCCATCCCATTCTTCAAAGGACACCTTAGTCAGAAACAGTCAACAGGGCCGCTCTGTGTGCCATGAAGTCAGGGAGGCAAGCGCCCTAGATGCTGGGAGCCCATCCCCCAAAACCAACAGCACAGAGCCCTCGGTGGAGAAAGTGGAAAGCCCACAAAATGGCTGAGGAGAGAACCAGGAGGCCCCTGCCCCACTGGGCTCTGCCAAGAGCCCCCAGTCATCACAGCCCCTGTGAGACCCAGACCAGTGTGGTCCCAGGGAATAGGCTAGAACCCCCAAGCCAACCCTTCCCCTGAAGACCCCCACCTGCCCCACTCCCCTACAGACCTGCTGAGGGCTCAGGCCGTCTGGCATGGGGCCCAGCTCTGGGGCTGGGGGCTTGATGTCCGAAACGCTGACCTCTAGGAGCCCCATGTCCTCCTCCTCCGAGTCACCTGGAAAGTCAGACAGGCCGATGACATGGCTAAGGCAGGGACCACACACCCTGCTCAGGCCTCAGGAGCTGAGAGCACCCCTAGACCAGCCTTGGACTCGGGTCCTAGAGTGCGAGCAGCTCCCGGGCCCTGTGGGGTGAGAGCCGCCCTGTAGCTCCTCTCAAGAGTTCCCTGCTGTGCCCCAGAGCCTGGAACCATCCATCAGTGAATAACTGTGGGTGAATGAGCGAGACGGTGAACAGGCAGAAATAAAAGCCGCGTCCTGTGGGGCCTGGGCTCTCGGTGTCCACGCTGCCAGAAGCCACTGTCCCCACTCAGGCCTGTCTGCTCTGGCCCAGCAAAGGCTGGCCGCCCATGTCCCCATCACTAGGAACTAAAAATAGTTTTCTTCTGGAAGTCTAAAAGGGGGAAGAAAATAAGCCCCGAGAAAAACAAGGCAGCTTGGTTTGGCACTTTCATTTTTAAATAAAAAATGCAGAGCTAAAGGAAAAAAATTCAACAGGAGCCTGACATGGAACCCGGGTGTCAGTGGGGATGGACCTCGGGCGGAGGACGGAATGAGACGGACAAGGCCCAGGCCTCTGAGAGTGGGGGGAGGTCAGGCAGTGAGGGGGCATCCGGAGAGGGCTCCAGCCCCCACCAGAGAGAGGCACAGGTGCCGAGAGAGGGAACCCTGGCTGCTGAATGGCTCTGACTCCAGCAGCAGCCGTAGGCAGCAGGAACTGGGAGCTGGGGGGCAGCTGGGGAGGAAAGAAGAAGAGGCAGTGACCCCAGGGGTGGGACGGGGCAGGGACACCCCAGTAAGCCCTTACCTGAGCAGGAAACAGAGGAGGAGGAGGAGGAGGGACAGCGGATGACAGCGTGGGGGTGGGGGTGGTGCAGGCCCTCCTGCTGGGCCCACATCACGCCCCGGGCATCACTCCGCACCCACCCCAGCCGGCCTCGCAGCTTCCTCTTCCCCCACGAGCTGCTGGGTAACATTCTTGGCCTGTGATTCGAGCCCTGCCACAGCTATTAATATCGCCTTGGCGGGGAGGGTCACTTCAGGAAGGCGCTGGCCTCATGGGCGGGGTGGGGAGGCCTGGGGAGAGCCCTAGCCAGCCTGGGGTGGGGAGGGTGACCCAGGAAGAGTTCCTAGCCAGCTGGCCTGGCCATGCTGTCCCTTCTCCGGACCATTTCAATGAGTTTAGAATGGCCACTTGGCCTGCTCCCTCCCTCATCAGGGGTCAGTGCTCCCCGAAAAGCAGAAGGAGCATGCACATTTACTCAGTGCCCAGGCTGTGCCAGGCCTGCACACACCTACCCTGGTTTAGCACCGCACCAAGCACACAGGTGGGGGTTCAACCCGTTTTACAGATGGAAACCACTTACAGTCTGCCGCCCCAAGAGGGGAAAACAGTAGAAGGCGACACTGCAGCCAGAAGGCAGCAGAGCCAGGTTCCGAGCAGGCAAGTTCCAGGCCATCCTAGCATCAAAGGCCTCCACTTAGGGACTGACCGCCCACCAAGAATAACATCTGCTACACAGGGCTCTCTCTCCTCATACTACCTTAGACATTCTCACCACAGCCCTACAAGAAAGACAGCCACCCCACTGGACAGGTGGAGAAACTGTGGCATGGAGGTCAAACTATAAAACTTCCCAGGAGGCCACAGGCTCTCAAAGTTCTGCCTGGCTCCAGGCCTTTGTTCCTTCTGCTGCAGCAGGCTGTGTGCTGAGGGCGGGAGGCATATCCTCTCCAGACAAGGCCTCCTTCCTTCCAAGGAGAACTGACACCCCCAGAATTCCATCAGCTGTGAGCCCACTGTCCTGGCATTCCTTGCCTCCTTGTCTGTTGCCTCTAAAGATGTGAGATGGGGAACAGGGGCTGGTCTCACTTGACCCTGTCCCACGAAGGCCTGGGAACACATCAGGGGCCCTGACATGGACATTTTCCGGAGGAAGGGACCAGAGCCTGGTGGGGACCAGGAGCAAGGGGAGGCACCTGAGGGGAGGTTCGGGGAAACAGGGTCAGGACTCATGTTGGCAGGTATGCCCAAGGCTTTAGGACAGTTCCTAGCACTTAGTAGATGCTTAATAAAACGTATTGCATGAATGACCAATTGATCAAATCTGACCATGGGACACTTCTGCCTAAAACCCTCTAATGACCTTCCAGTATCCTTAAGACCAAAGGCAAATGCCCAGCAAGGCCCACTGAGCCTGTACTGACTGGACCCTGACCTGTCACCCTCACCCTCGCTTCTGCCACATGAGGCCTCCTCCATCTTTTCCAAGCCTGTGTGTCCTCAGCCCTGTCACTGAACCTCTCTGTGCCTATCGCCTCATCTGCTGCATGGGAATGTGGGCGTCCTCTGTACCCTGTGTGGTGTGGATAAGGATTAAGTGAGGAACTGCAGGCTCACAGGCGAGCACCTGGCACACAATAAATAATCAGTGCTAAGGATCCTCTCTGGATCGCCTTGCACTTTCCTACCCCTGGGCTCTGCACGCCTGATCACTCCTCTTTCCAGAGCACCCCCTCCCCTCTGCCTGGGGACCAGTGCCTCCTTCTCCTTCCCAGACCTTTCCTCCCCCAAGTCCATCCTCACTTCCTCCATGCCCCCCAGGGTACCCCAGGGTCCCACTTGTCAACCTGCACTGTTATTTCCCATTTCTGTGCCTGTCTCCCGAGCTGTGCCAGCAGCCAGTCCTGGAGGCACTGCTGAGACGCACATCTTGGGTCCCTGCCTGCAGCACAGGCTGTGGCACTTAGTAGGATTCAGTAAATGTCAGCTGGTTGGAGAGATGGGTGGATGGATAAAGGAAGGAGGAACAGGAACGAAAAAGATAAGGACAGGTGAGCCAGACAGCGTGTGGGGGTAGGAGGCCAAGACAAAAGCAGGAGCAGGGATGCTGAAGGGAGGGGCCCAGCTCTCCCGCGGGACAGCCCATGCCTGCCAAAGGAGGAAGAGACACACGGGGACCTACCAGGATATTTGGGACTCAGCCCCCAACTCCCACCACCAGAGGAAGCTGTATGACAAATGTTACCCACCCAGCATATCCTCTGGGGCGTAAAGCAAAAACCCAATCCCCACCCCCAACCTCCAGCCCAGAGCTGGGCACCAGACCCTCCTGCTCAGGCAGTGCCTCACCGAGGACGTCCTTCCTGTGCAGGAAGGAGACTTTGCGCATGACAGCCATCCTCGTCTTCTCCAGCCCATCCTTGGTCCCGCTCTTGGCGGCCTTCATGAGCTGGGTCATCTGAGCAAAGATAGAGAGGCTCATCAGGAAAGGGACAGCCTGGGACACCTGCCACCGAAGGGCACCCGCCTCCCCGGGCCTCAGCCTGCAGAGGTCAGAACCACCCAGACCCTTCCCTCCCAGGTCAGTGAGCAGTGGCCAAGGGTGACAGTGGGGATAAGGAGGCGCACGTTCATGCCCGGGATCTCCCTCTTTACAGGCAAGAGGAGGCCATAGCTGATTTTTTTCCCCTCAGGACAAACTATGTGAACAGATTTCAAATCCAGGAGATGATGTGACCTGGCGAGGAGTGGGGCAAGGGGTGCTGGAGACCTGGACCCTGGGCCACCCCCTAGTGGCATGACTCTGGGTACATCACTGAGTGTTGCTGAGCCTCCATTTCCCCAGGGAAAACTGAGGAATAGCAGTACCTATCCTTGCCAGGGTTAGTGAGCACCAAACAGACTGGGTCTGGGAAAGCTCCCTGAGCAGCAAAATGTGCTCCTGATGTTGAACATGACCTTAGGAGCAACTAAAGGAGGTGTGGGCACACCCCCATCCCATCCGCCAAATCCAAGTGAGGGACCCATCCCTTGTCTCCCCCCTAAACAGCCAGGTTTCTTACTGAGCCACTGTCCAGGAAAAGGAGAAAAGGCTGAAGTTGCCAGAAAGCGAGAGGCAGCTTCCCTTGGCGGTGGGGAGGGGATCCATGGACACGAGCGTAGCAAGCTAAGCAGAACATGAGATGTAAGGAGAGCGCGTGCCCAGGACGGGGAAGTGGGCACCCTGGGTGCTGGGGGAGCCTGGGCCTGAAACAGAGCTGCTGTCCCCTCAGCCAGTCCTTTGTCCTCCCAAGCCCCAGCCCTAGCCCCCACATCTTCTCCAACAACAGTACCAGCCAGGAGAAGACTCTGCAGTGATAGAAACTCTGAATCTGCACTGCCCAATATGGCAGCCACTGGCCGCATGTGACTATGAGCACTGGAAATGTGCCAGTGCAGTGGCTCACGCCTTTAATCCCAGCACTTTGGGAGGCCAAGGCAGGCAGACCATTTTAGGTCAGGAGTTCGAGACCAGCCTGGCCAACATGGTGAAACCCCATCTCTACTAACAATATATAAATTAACCAGGCCTGGTGGTGGGTGCCTGTAATCCCAGCTACTCAGGAGGCTGAGGCAGGAGAATAACCCAGGAGGCGGAGGTTGCAGTGGGCAGAGATTGTGCCATTGCACTCCAGCCTGGGCAACAGAGTGAGACTCCGTCTCAAAAAATAAAAATAAATAAAAAAAAGAAATGTGCTGGTGTAAGGAAGGACCCAAATTTCTAATAATATTTAATTTTAGTTAATTTTCATTTAGTAAATTTCATTTAAAGAGCCACATGGCTATCATAATTGACAGTGCAGGAAAGCCTTCTCCTTCCTAAAACTCTCTGCTGAAGGTGGGGTGCACTAAGCTGATGGGGGGTGTCTCTGGTCTCTGCTCTCACCTCCAGTAATCCCTTGGTCCCTACTTAAGTATCCAAGCACTTCTTGGGGGTCTGGGCAAGGAAGGCTTGCTGGAAGCCACCAGGTGCTATGCATGGGGAGGCAGGGCTGGCGGCTTTTAAGGAAGGAGGCTGACTTCCTGGAAGGAACCAGCAGCAGGGAAAAGGAAGAAAGCCCCCAGCCTGCCCTGCATCTCTATGGGACAAACCTAGAGCAGTGGTGCTTGGCCTTTTCTGGGGGTAGGGCAGGGAGAGTGGTCACAGAGGCCTTCAAGAACCTAATGAAAGGGATGGCATAGATGCTCGTCCTCTTCTTCTTGGTGGGGGGTGCTGCAGGAAGAGAGGGTCACACCCTCACAAGATCCAAAACCTCTGTTCCAGAATCCAGTTCCTGTTCTGGCAGAAAGCCATCAATGGGGCAGTCCTATGAACCCCCCAAAGTGGTCTTTCAGGGAATCATCTAAGGCCCTTCTCTTGGCATTTTCCTGGGCAAAAAAGAACAGGCAAATACCCTAGAAGGTGTCCCCAAGTAAACCTGCCAAATCCACCCATTCCCACCATGTGTGGTTGTGGCAGGGGAAAGGCCCCATCTTAGACTCTGCCCTTCACTAGCTCCTGGCTCCTCTCTGAGCCTTGGCTTCCTGCGAGGTCAGCCCCACCTCCGCCCTGGGTTGCAGGCCTCTCGGGGGTATCTGTGAAAGGTCTCGTAAACTGTAAACGGTTTGCGCTCCTCCTCCTGGAAGGCTCCACGTTCCAAAAAAGTGGGCAGACTACAGGATGGAGGGCACTTGGGCTCCGGTATACAGTGGACCTCAGCTGGAACCCCACTTCTGTCGCTGATCACTGGTGTGGCCACTAAAAGATGTCAGGTACCTGACACTAAAAGATGCAGAAAGGCAGCTACTGTCCAGAGTGCCACAGCGCGGATAACGACAGCAACCATTCTTTTAGACCAAGCACAGCACTGCACACCCAACGGGCCTGATCATCAACCCTCACAGCCACCCAGAGGGTTGGGACTGTGAATGCTCCCATTTCAACGGCAAGACAACCGAGGCTCAGAAAGGCCAAGGGGCCTGCTCAGGGTCACACAGTGAGGAAGTAGTGAGACTGGGATTCAAACCAGACCCACAGACCTCGAGAGTCCATGCCAAGACACACACAGCAGGTGCTCAATTAATAGAAGCTACTGTGGTCAATATCATCATTATCCAAAAGTTTAAGAAAATTCTGTGATTTCTCCTACAGACTTCCTTATCCTGGATTCCTCTGAATAGTGAGGAGGGTTAGGAACATCCAATGTCACCAACACTCAAGTTTTTCAACATGTAACCCAACTGTCCAGATTATGAAATCTGCGGATTCCTGAGCCTCATCCCAGACCTACAGAAGCAGCACCCCTGGGGCTGGAGCTCAGGAACCTGCATTTTTAATGCAGCACCCCAGGTGATTCCAAGGGTCCTAAAGTTTAAAAACCCTCCTGGGAATTCTGGTGGACTATAAGGGTTTCACTTCTGGGTTGGGAGAAAGATAACGGGAGAGAACATGGAAAGGAACACGTGGCTTAAGGCATCTGCCAGTTCCAGCACAGACGTGAGGGTGGCCAGGGTCCAGGTCTCAGGACGGCCCTGGGACTCAGGGGTGGGCCTGGGAGGCTTTGTGGTACCAGGGCAGCAGGAAAGGCCCCTGGAGGTAGCTGCAGCTGGAAATGGCCCCTGTCCAGGGCTTAAGGGGACAGACAGACAATACCTTACAATCGTACTTGTGCTTCAGCTCCTGCATGTCTCTCCCCCCAACTCTCAAAGCCAAGATGTCTCTCTTAGTCCTGGCGTATCTCTCCTTTAGCCTAGTCAGGTCTGGAGAAAGCTGGAGCCCCAAGCGGCCAGGCAGAAGGAGAGCAGGTAAGAGAAGCAGGCGGGACAGGGAGAAGACAAAACACAGACAACAGAGGAGAGAGGAGACTCAGGTAAAGTGGCAGATGGACAGCTCAGGCTGGTGGGATGCGGAGCCCCAGGTCCCAGGGGGCAGCCCAGCCAGGTCCTGCCTGGAATCTGCTCCACTGTGTCCCACCGCACCACACCAGGAAGCTGGGGGCCTGGTCTCTGCAGCAGGGAATGTGGGCTGCTGGGGAGGGGAGGCAGGAGGGGAGCAAACCCCGGTCCCCTCTAGGGAAAGGGGAAAATGCTCTGAGGGCAAGGACTGTGTCTTCTTTCCAGCCCCATGACCCAGCACAGGGCTTGTAACATAGGAGCTTCTAGGTAAGTTTGTAAGATGGGCAGATGGCAGGTGGGTGGGTGGGTGGGTGGATGGATGGATGGATGGATGAATGGATAGATGGAATGGGGTCAGAGAGGATAAATGGATAAGTGAGCAAATGCACAGAAGATGAATGGATGGGAGAGGGAGAGTTGGGTTGATGGATGGGCACAAGACAGACAGGTGAATGGGTAGACGGACAGGCTGGCAGAGGGATGGATGGATAGACAAATAAATGGATGAACAGACACATAAACAGACGGATGAGCAAATGGATAAATTTGGTTAGGTGTCTACGTAGCTGGGCAAACGGACAGATGGATGGGTGAAGAGACAGTCAGAGGAAGGAATAAGAGGATGGATGGTTAAGAGAATGGAGTCAGGCAGTTCTGTGCTGGCAAATATTTAACCAGTTCTCCAGGAAAAAGGGCCCTGCTGTGAAGCATTTCCATGGTGTGAATACTTCCACCAATTTCAAGCTACCAAAGTGACATCACTGAATGGGAATCTGTAAAGAGATGCATGTAACTGGTTCATGAGTTCTCATGAGCTGGCACTAGCTGCCTCTGGTACACTGCTGGAGGAAGGGAGGATGAATGAAGGGAGGATGGAAGAAGGGTAAAGGGAGGGAGGGGGATGGGCAACTGGATTGAAGAATAAATGCCCAGCTTACAGATTATCTTGGAGGATGGATGGATAAGTGGATGGATGGATGGATGGATGGATGGATGGATGGATGGATGGATGGATGGATGGACAAACAGATGGGAGAACAGGTGGATGGACAGAATAACAGATAGATATTCAAATGTACTCACCCTATGAGCAATAGTGATATTTGGTAAAGTACACAAAAGAGCAAGACAGGTGTTACGTCTAGAGAAGTAGACAGAAGGGCCAAGAGTATGAACTCTGGAGGCAGGTAGGCCCACCTCAAATCATGACTCCCTGCTCACTAGCTGGAAAAATCTCTTTACCTCTCTGAGTTGCAGCTTCCTTACTGGTAAAGTGGCTATAACAATAGCTACTGCATAGGGTTGCTGAGAAAATTAAATGTACATGCAAAGCCCAGAGCTTATTACATACTCAAAAAAATGGACGCCATTATTATTTTATCTTTTAAATTGCAAGTGCCCAATATTTGTTGGATGGATGGATGAATGGATGGATGACAGATGGACATCAGATAGACGAGGTGTTTTCATCCCTACGTGATGTTGCATTCTACAGCATTTAAAACTCCCTGAGCTTCACACAGGTTTTCTGATCATCAAAATGAGAATCTTAATGACAATAATATTGACCACTTAGGGTACTAGGAAAATTAATGACACTTCTTTGTAAAGTGTACCATTCTAGACATATGTTCAATATTGTTATGCTATGCAAAGAACTATGTAGGACAGGGGTCCCTCTGAGAGCTACCAAGACTCCCAAAAAACTGGGGAGTTTGGGGTTTGACCTGAGTCCTGTTCATCTATAAAATAGTTTCACACAATAAAATCACAAAGCCCCTGGGCCTTCTGGTGCTCCTTCACTTCTCTCAGGGTCAGGAGAACTAGGAAATGTCAGGATCAGCGGTCACCTGCTGAGCTGGCCAGATCAGAGCAGGGGGTGGACCAGGTTGGGCCAGGGCTGGCATTTTTGTAACGAGCCCATGAGTTCTGCCCAGTCCCCATCCAGCTGGATCAGAGACCTTGATTTCAAAGAGGTCACCACTGGAGAGTGGGAGAGTTCAATGCAATCCATCCCACAACTGGAAAAAAAACCCACAGACCCAAGATTGGCACCAGCAGGATCACTTGTTCACATAACAAGATGAGGCAGCTGTTTCCACTTGGGTCAGTGCCCCTCTGCAGACTCCATGGTCACTTTTTTTGGCAAGAGCCCACCTGCCTAGAGACGGCCTCTCCAATATCTGAAGAAGGGGTTCCATTGGTTCTCTTGCAGCTGGGCAGGGTGCCAGGCCATGGTCAGACTCCAGGAACAGGACGAAACACATCCCCAAACCCCTGCTGCCCTGGGTCTGCAGCACACAACACACAGCCAAGCAGCAGCGACCCTAAAACATGCAGCTGCTGCAATGCCAGAGGGTGAGCAGGTGTGCCCCAAGCGGCTCAGGAGGGTGATGCACCACAGGCAGGCTCAGTTGAGTCCCTCGCAGAAGTGGGTACCAGAGGACAAGCCCTCCACAACCTCCTGTCTCCCTAGAAGCCGGCTGGTCAGGGAGCAGGGGGACCTTGGCTTTAGCCAGAGAAAAACTCCAAGTGGTTAGAAATCCCAACAATTGTGCCACATAGTTTATCTGCTGAGGAAGGGTCCAAACCCCCCAGTCTGAGAGTATGAGGAACAGGAGCTCACAGGCAGCCTTCAGAAGTCCCATTCCCAGGGCCAAGCCGTGGAGAGTGCAGCCCTGCATTTCTTGGAGTGCTCCATGGGTGCCTTGCACCCCTGGGGGGCAGAGAGCTGCTTAAAAGGCCGATCACCGGGCCCCACCCAACCCCTGAATCAGAGTCCCTGGTGAGGCACTGGCATCTGTGATTCAACCGTGTGATTCTGATGCCCATGAAAGAATGAGAACCACCGCTGGAAAGCCTGCATTCAGCATCTTCATCCCTCCTTCCCTCTGAGATGCGTATGGTTTCCTCCCAGTCCCAGCAAGAGGGCCGGAGCCTGGGAAAGCCACCACGGGAGAGGAGGAAGAGGAACACCAGCTCCAACTCACCACTCTTGGAGGCCTCCTCTGATTGGCCCTATCAGTCCCTACCCCCATCAGGCACACAACCAGGCTGGACACAGGTTTCCGTGTACATAAAGGCATATTTGCCTTTGTTTGGTTTTGTTTTGAAGGGCCTGATAGTTTATTTTTGACAACTGTTCCACCCTGATTATGATGGCCAGCATTTTGTCTTCATTTTTGACAAACTGTTTCCCATTCAATATCTCCTGTGGACCATAAAGGTCGGCTGAGCCCGGATCAGGTCTTCCTGTTCCAATGTATCCCATCCCACAACTGAAGATACGAACTAGGCACACGGTAGGTGTTGTAAATGCTTTGCTTTTTGGCTAGCAAGACATTAAGGGTGTTTTCCACAGCCCACCATGGAGGTTCATCCCTGGAAAGATCTGGCTCAGAGAGACCTGCTCAGCCCCAGGCTTGCTCAGGACTCCAGGAGCCCATCTTGGTCTGAGGAATGGCTGCCTGAGGACTCAGATGTGGGTGTCCCTCCAGCCAGCATGCCTCTTCCACAGGGGTTCCCCCAAACCCAGAAAAGGGCAGGAGGTACCAGGAAAGGCCCCTCTCTCGTCCCTGCCCTGCCCATGCAGGAATGGCCCTAGGCAGAGCTCTCCTGCCCTGCTGCACCTTTCAAAAGGAGCTTGAGGCCTGCATAGTAGCTCACATCTGTAATCCCAGCACTTTGGGAGGCCGAGGCAGGTGGGTCTCTTGAGGCCAGGAGTTTGAGACTAGCCTGGGCAACATGGCAAAAACCCGTCTCTACAGAAATACAAAAATTAGCCAGGCATGATGGTGCACATCTGTAATACCAGCTACTCGGGAGGCTGAGGCAAAAAAAATGCTCAAACCCGGGAAGCAGAGGTTGCAATGAGCCGAGATTGCACCACTGCACTCCAGCCTGGGCAAATGAGTGAGACTCTGTCCCAAAAGAATAAATAATACAAATAAAAGTAAAGGGAACCTGAGAAGGACCCCATCCCCTCTGCTCAGTCAGGGCCTGTCAGAAGCTGTCCCCATGAAGCCACAAATCTCAGCACGGGCAGACACTGCCCCTTGGTGGCTTCTGCAGAACAATATGGAAGGAGCAGGGTGCCATGGGAGAGGAGGAACCAGAAGACCTATCTTCCTTGCAGCCACAGGGTCTCCCCTCCAGGAAATAAGCAGAATGACCCCTGCTCCAGGCAGAAACATAGGGAAGCCGAATGCATGGATGGCACCGTGTGAGACCCTGGAGAGAAGCCTTCCAGGCCGCTCTGGCTTAGCCACAGCAGCCCCCCTGTCCACCACCCCAGAGCAGAGAGGACTGCGTGGGCTGAGGCCTGATCTGAGCATCGGTCCCAGAGGGCAGGGAGAACAAGTGGATCTGGTCCAGGCTCCCCCTCTAAGTGGCTGCGCTATCTGGAGTGCAGTGTTGAGAGGACTCTGAAGCCCAGTCTGAGCCCATGAACATCGGGATTAATCGACCACGTCTACCACAGCAAGGGCATGGGGGGATTACCTGTGCCAGGTGCTAGCCATGCCAATCCCAGGCTTAGGGCTGCCAACAGCAATGCCTTTGGTTCACCTCCTGTTTTGGGATGACCTGGGCTCTGGCTCCCCTCTCACCACATGTTGCTGGGAATCCCTGGGACCCAGATGCGAGTTGCAGGCCTGGCCCTCACCACCCTGTTCCCTCCCTCCCTGAAGGGGTCTCTGTGCTCTGATTGAGGTGACAGAAACCCCCGGCCCCCTCACCTTGGGCTGGAAGGACACTCGGTGCTTGGCAGGCTCGATCTCTGGCTTGGCCTCCTCCCCGGAGTCCTCACTGTAGCTCTCAAACTCACTGGAGCTCCAGCCTAGGTCCTCCGCCTGCCGAGGCACCCCAGTCCGGTGCACATCCTCGTAGAGCAGGCTCCTCTCTGCCCCTGCTGGGCAAGCGACTGCTGGTGAGCCCGGGCCCTGAAGCCAAGCCTACTAGACTTCCAGCCTCAGATCCAATTTCTGAACCCAGGTGGGGCAAGGGGAGTCAAGGAGAATGTGGGGACCCTGGGGCTCCAGCTCCACTTCCTCAACCGTGAAGTGGACATAACAATACATCCTTCCCCTTGTAGGGCAAGGAGGGCCTGAGAAAATGGGGAAAACACACGAAATGCGTCAGACACGCCAGGGGCCCACTTATTTCCTTTTGCTCCCAGCATTGCTTTTGTATGCTCTCGGCACTCATTCTGGGCCTCCTGGGCAATTTTTTTTAGAGACAGGGTCTCATTGACTCACCCAGGCTGGAGTGCAGGGGTGCAATCACAGCTCACTGTGGCCTCAAACTCCTGGGTAAGTGATCCTCCCATCGCAACCTCCCAGGTAGCTGGGACCACAGGTGTGTCCCATCACACCCAGCTAGTTTCTTTTTAATTTTTTGTAGAGATGGAGTCTTGTTATATGCCCAGGCTGGTCTTGAACTCCTGGGCTCAAGTGATCCTCCTGCAGTGGCCTCCCAAAGTGCCAGGGTTATAGGCATGAGCCACTGCACCCAGCCATGGAGCTACCACACATGACCTGTTTTTTGCTGGAAAAGAGAAGATCCAGAGCCAAGTCCTGGCTCAGGCCGTCAGCACCTTCAGGAATGACACAGAGTTTATTGGGGCCCCAGGGCCCCTCACCTCAAATCTGAGTTCACGTGTGGCCCAAGATCTTCCAGCAGGGGGCGCAGCTGGCCCAGAGTCCAGGAGCTCCTTCCCTTCCAAAGCCTGAGGGAAATGCCTTGGACTGAAAACTTGGGGGCTAGAAGCTGAGAGTTGCATCGTCTGAGGGACAGTTCCCACAAGGGCCAGGGCACTCGTGGGCCCCTTTCAACTGGGTTGTGAGACACCACTTGAAGGCCAAGGTGGGAAAGTCACTGTCCCGAGGCCAGAACACAGGGTCCAAGCCCCAGCTCTGTCACTGGGGGACCTCGGGCAAGGCCCTTCGCCCCTCTGGGTCTCATTTCCTCATCTGTTACCTGGAGAACTGCAGACCTCACAAAAGTGGGGTTGGACGCCAAAAAGTTCATGAAGATGAAAATGGATTTTAAAAACCCTTTCCAAAGCTATATTTCTTTATGCACAGACAAAATATAGCATTGGGGAGGGTTTTTTAAAAAGAAAGAAAGAAATCTGACAGGGCACGGTGGCTCATGTCTGTACTCTCAGCACTTTGGGAAGCCAAGGTGGGTAGATCAGGAGTTCGAGACCAGCCTGGCCAACATAGTGAAACCCAGTCTTTAATAAAAATATAAAAACTAGCTGGGCATGGTAGTGCATACCTATAGTCCCAGCTACTCAGGAGGCTGAGGCAGGAGAATTGCTTGAACCCAGAGGAGGAGGTTGCAGAGAGCCAAGATCATGCCATTGCACTCCAGCCTGGGTGACAGAGCAAGAAAATGTCTCAAAAAAAAGACAAGAAATCTGCTCAGAAACGACTGTGTCAAAAAAAACTGTAGGCTTTGGTCATCAGAGAACTCTGTGCGAAATGGGGCTAATAGTCAGCAGACAGGTGGAGTATATAAAACAGCCAAGGAAAAGTGCCTGGCACACAGCATGCGCTCAGCTGACAGCAGCAGGCCGTCACTTGTGGTGGCTCGGGGGGCGGAGGGGGGGGCTTGTGTGCCAGTCCATAGACCCAGGACCCCCAGCTTCACCCCACAGGAAAGCTGGGGTGTGAGGGGTGAGGGGCAAGAGCATCAGCCAAAGAATAAAACAGATGCGCTGAGGCTTAGAGGGACACGAGTCCCAGGACCAGGAGGGAACATGAGGTTATTTTCAAGCAAAAGATAATGGTAACTAATGTCTTTAGAGAGTGGAGCAGCTGCGACCTTCAGAAGGCCAGGCTGATTATCCCATTACTGCAGTGGAGGCCCCTCGACTAGTGACCAAAGAGGCAGAGTTCTTGGGGAAGCCCTGAGGAGGAACCCCGGCAGCATGTGGCAGATCCACGCCTCCACAGGGCTGAACCGCACACCCGACCACCTCCGTCCTCAGTGTGCCCTGGCTCCCAGTGGCCCTGTGCAGATGGCAGGGTGTGAATGATCACCCCTCCTATTAGAGAGATGGGAGAGATGTGGCTGGCCACAGTAAGACAGTGAGCGGGGCTGGGTTCCACACTACCGTTCGCTGAGGTCCTCACCATGTACACGTATAGTAATGTCCTTTCCAGCGGAGACAGAGTCACAGAACTCTGGTGTCTGTGTGCAGCCCAAGGGCCATGAAATGAAGATGGACCACACAAGGGTCCCCTCATGCTTCCTGCTCATCAATTACCTCATGGAATCCACGCTACCACCCAAGGACTGGCCATTATTGTCCCAGTTTTACAGATGGGTCAACTGAGGCCCAGAGAGATTGGGCAGGACCCAGCATGACCCTCCCCAAAGCCTGTGAGCTGGGGTTAGTCTTGATTTATATGAAGAAGCCAAGGCCCAAAGGCACAAAGCCCTGTGCCCAAATCAATGGCAGAGCCAGGATTCAAACACAGGGCTGTGTGTGCCCACCGCAGCATACAGCCTGTCCCTCGGGTAACCACCTCCTCTCTGAGCTCCTGCTAAGCCCACTGCAGCACCAGGCAGGCCAGTGCTGGACCCTCGGCAGGCGTAACACTAACAACAGCAGCAGCGGCCCTGTGTGAAGAGCGCCTACCAAGAGCCAGCCCTGCACTGAGCTCTGCAGCCTTGTCACACTGGATCCTCCCATAGCCCCAGCATTCGGGAATCCTGGTCCTCACTTGCAGGCCCAGAGCTAGGGTGCAAACTCCCAGGCCACAAATAGGCCACATCCTCCCAGGCCCTGAGGACAGAGAAGATGGGCCTGGGACTTAGTGACTTGATTGAATTCATGTGGGGAACAAGCCAAATGGGTTAAACAACAGCTGAGGCCCCTCAGAACCCCCACCTCTGGGACTTTGCCTTCCGTCACAATGGGAGTTCATCGCGCCCTGAACTTGAGTGTGCTACAAACAGGAAAATGTGCTCCAAGCATATCCCAGGCTTGCTAACGGGATAGGAGTATCACTGGCTCATCCATCCCCGTTCCTGAGACTGGAGTCAGGAGTGTGGCTCTGGGGCCCTCAGGCCTTGCCGTGTTGTCTGTCCAATGTTCCCATCCCACTGGACTGTATGCTGCTCAAGGATGGTTAGAGCTGCCCCATCAGACTTGGGGCTCCTCAAAAGCAGGGGCTGTGCTTCCCCATTGGAAGGAGAGCCCCTAAAAACAGAAGAATCACACAGTAGGAAAAGCAAAGTCGCCTGTTCAAATCCTAGCTGTGGGCTCTGGGCTGGTGGCCTAACCCCTCTTTATGACAGGAGTCATAAATAAGGTGGCCCTGCCACCCTCATGGGGCCATGGGATCAGTGGGATCAAATGTGCCTCATCTGTCATAAAATGCCACTCAAATCCTCCTGGGGTCAGGAACGGAGCATTGAATTTGGGGTCAAAATGACCCCACATTCAAATCCCAGCCCTGCCTCTGCCGTTCCCTTCTCTGTAAAATAAGGACGTAACATCCCAAATCAAAGTCTCGAGGCTGTCACGTGATTGAAAATGTGAAGAGTGGCTTGGCCTCATGTGTTCAAGCAAAGATGACTCTTCCTGTTGTCACTGAACAGTCCTCTCTCCCATCAGGTGAGTTCCAGTGAGACTTGCCCCAGCCCCACCCCGTCTCCCCTCTGTGGCCACAATCACCCGCCTGCCTGCCTGCCTGCCTGCCCGCTGGCCCACATCTTCCCCAACAGCTCTGGAAAGCCCAATCTATGACCCCATTTTCCTGAGGGAGGAATCAAGGCTTGGAAAGGTGATGATCTTTAAACAACAGCTGAGGCCCCTCAGAACCCCCAGCTCTGGGACTTTCCTAAGACTTTGCCTTCCGTCACAATGGGAGTCCATCACGCCCTGAACTTGAGTGCACTACAAACAGGAAAATGTGCTCCCACAGCGGACCCACAGCGGAGCATGGCCCTGCCCATGATGCCCAGCCCTGCCCAGCCCCACCGGCCACACCCTTGGCCATCTAAGATTCTCCCCATGACTACAGTTGTTTCTAAAGACAAGAAGGAGGGGCACTGGGCCAGGTGGGGACAGAAGGAAATGGAAGGAGATGACCCTCCCCAATCCCTGCCTCCCTCCTGCCCCCAAGAGAAGCAGGGAAGCACTGCAGAAACCATACCGGGCTGATGGGCATCTGGGCTCTCACAAGGGACGTCGTCATAAATCACATCTTCTTCCAGGGCAGGGAAAGTGAACCGGTCGACTGGGAGGGAAGAGGGGAGAAAGAGCGCCAATTGGAGCTGTGGTGGCCTGTGGCGGCCTGGCTGGAGGTGCTGCAGATGACATCAGGACTGCACCAGCTGGTAGCATGCAGCACCCTGCTCTCTGCCAGCCCAGCCCAGCCCTCAGCCCCGCCAGCTGCTCTCAGGGGATGCCGGGTTCCTCGCTAATGGACAGCCGCTCCTTGCCCCTGCAGAGAGCATGACTCAGTCCAGCACCTGTGACCTGGCCCTAGCATCCTCAGTCACCCAGGCCCCCAGGCAAGCCCCTCATCACTGAGCAGCATGAGATTTGGAAAACCAGCCCCCACCCTTGATGGGAGCCAGTCCTCGATCTACAGGCCTTCCAGGAATAAGTCACAAGACCCACTGGCCTGTGATGCTTCCCTGGGTCCTGGGGCCCCTAGAGCCCTGTCAGAGCCCCTCTTCCTCCTCCCACACTGGCTCTCAGGCCTGTCTACCTCTCTCTCAGCCCCCAGTTCCAACCTCAGATTCCCCGTCCTACAAGATCACAACAGCCTCTCAGTGGGCTCCACCCCTCCCCACCTGGTCTCCTACACTGCTCCCAGCGCAGCACATAGGGACTGAAAGGCAAAGGCAGCTGCATCACTCGCCTTCCTTCTGTGGCTTCCTATTGCCTTGAGAACCGTAAGCATGGCCTCTGAGGCCCTGAGGAGCTGCAGGGCCAGCAGCCACATCTCACCTCGTCACATTCCCCACCCCTGCAGATGACGCCCTTGCCAATGCCCGAGAGCCAGGTGTCCTCTTGCACTCAGGCCCTTGCACAAGTTGGCCCCTCTGTCTGAGACCCTCTTTCCCCCACCCTTGCTGCCTCCCTCTCTCTCTGCAGGGCTCATCTGGCTAGGCACCTTCCCATGGCAAAGTGTCTAGTTCTGCTCACAGAGGGACCTCACCCTGGTCTCCAGGGCACTCCCACCACCAGGCCACCCTGGCCTGTCGTGGGAGCTTTATAAGTATTTGGGGAGCAGATGAAAAGCTGGGTGTGTCAGCCACTCCTGGTCCTCGGCTCTCGTGGGCAGTGGTTGGTCCTCCAGGGCCACAGCAGCCCGCAGTGAGGATGACCCCAGGGCTCATAGGAGCCCACATCAGCTCTCTCGGGTTAGGAAAGACTAGGATATCCTGGAGCTAGCTACCTGGCGTGGGCAGCGGGCCAGAGGGGAGACTTACTGCGACGGGAACTCTTCCGCTTCCAGCTGGAGCGCTGGGCCCCGGAGAAGGCTGTGTCCACTGCATCCCCATTGCTCACCCAGGCTGGCACCCTGTGGGCGAGAGATGGCACTGCAGAGGTGTCCAGAGGTGGCCCCTGGAAGCCTCTGGCAGTCCCTCCCCTGGTCAGTGGGGCATGACAGGCAAAGGTGGGCTGAGGGCCACGCTGCTGGGGAAAGGCAGGTACTACAAAGCTGGGCTGGCACTTCACAAGAGCGTACAGATCAACCTAGCTCAAAGTGATGATCACCTAGCACTCTCCACAAGGGACCTGTCTCATCTCTCTCTGGTGCAGACTCACAGGGAGCCTCCACCTCTCCACTCTCCCACATGCAACAGGAGGGGCAGCCTGGTAGAACCCTGCCTCCTGCAAGAAACAAGGACTTGGCCAGGCACAGTGGCTTATATCTGTAATCACAGCACTTTGGGAGGCGGAAGTGGGTAGATCACTTGAGGTCAGGAGTTTAAGACACCCTGGCCAACATGGTGAAACCCCATCTCTACTAAAAATATAAAAATTAGCCAGGTGTGGTGGTACACACCTGTAATCTCAGCTACTCAGGAGACTGATGCATGAGAATCGCTTGAACACAGGAGAGGGAGGTTGCAGTGAGCCAAGATCATGCCACTACCTTCCAGCCTGGGTGACAGAATGACACTCTGTCAAAAAAAAAAGGAAAAGGAAAAAGGAACAAAGACTTGCAAAGCTTCAAAAGACTATACGTGGGAGGTAGAGCTCAGGCCTTCACACACACTTGGGGATGGGCTGGTCCCTTCCAGAGAACAGACACGCAAATGGCAGATAGCAGAGAAACCAGCAAACATGTCCTGAACCAACCGATCCAGGTGAGCATCTGTAGAGACGCTACCAGATGCCATGTGCCTTCGTATGATGTCACGAAATGGGTATTTCACCTCCATAGTGTTTTTATCCAAAACCCATAACCCCAGTGTAATCATGGGGAAAACACTAGACAGAACCAGAGTTGGGGACATTGTACCGAATATCTGGCATTATTCCTCAAGACTTTTTTTTTTTTTTTTTCGAGATAGAGTGTCACTCTGTTACCCAGGCTTCAGGTCAGTGGCGCAATCTTGGCTCACTGAAACCTCTGCCTCCAGGGTTCAAGCAATCCTCCCACCTCAGCCTCCCAAGTAGCTGGAATTACAGGCATGCGCCACCACGCCCAGCTAATTTTGCACTTTTAGCGGAGACGGGGTTTCACCATGTTGGCCAGGCTGGTCTCAAACTCCTGACCTCAAAGTGATCCACCAGCCTCAGCCTCCTCCCAAAGTGCTGAGATTACAGGCATGAACCACTGCAACTGACGATTACTCCTCAATATTCTCAAGGTCATGGAAATCAAGGAAAGATCGAGAAACTGCCACAGGCCGGAGCAGGCTACAGAGACATGACAGTTAAGTGCAATGTGGGATCCTGGATTGGATCCTGGGCCAAAAGAATGAACAGAAGTGGGAAAACATGGAATCTACACAAAGTCTGTTTAGTGAATGTAACATGCCAGCACAGGTCTCAGCTTTGACAACTGTGCCAAGGCCGTGTGAGATGCTCACAGTGGGCAAGTGGTGCAGGGTGTGTGGAGCTCTGTGTATCCCACCCAGAACATCTCTGAAAATCTAAAGCTATTCTAACGAGAATTTGTTTAAGTCCAGTTTCAAAAAAATAAAACAAAGACCAAAGACCACTTATGCCAACCCAGAGAGCAGGGGCCTTAGACTGTCAAGAGAACAGCCAAAGAATCAACTTGAACTTCCTGGCACTGGAGCCTTTAGCAGATGAAGAGTAAGACAGTACAGGGGAAGAGGGAGGGGAGAAGGAAGGGAGGGGAGGAGGCTTCGACAAGGGCTCTCCGCTGCTGAGCACCTCCTGTGAGCCAGGCCCTCTGCCTCACCTTCTCAGGACCAAGTGGGATCCTGGCATCTTCTGCATTCTGCAGGCAAGTAGAGGAACCTACAGGGGATCACTCTGCCAGGGAGTGGCAGAGCCAGACTGTGAGGCCAGCTCACCTGGCTCCCAAGCTGGGCTCTGAGTGCTGCCCTCCGCTGCCTCTCAGATAATAAGCAGAGCGATGGTGGTGGTGAGACTGCTCCTGCCTCTCAGATAATAAGCAGAGCGATGGTGGTGGTGAGACCGCTCCTGCCTCTCAGATAATAAGCAGAGCGATGGTGGTGGTGAGACCGCTCCTGCCTCTCAGATAATAAGCAGAGCGATGGTGGTGGTGAGACTGCTCCTGCCTCTCAGATAATAAGCAGAGCGATGGTGGTGGTGAGACTGCTCCTGCATTGCATATGCAGTGCAATGGCCACCAGCGACACAGCTACTAAGCCCTTGACATGTGGCTGGTGAAACTAAGGAACCTAATTTTTAATTCTATTTGATTTTAAGTCATTTAATTTTAAATAGCTACACATGGCTAGTGGCCACTGGACTGGGTGGTACAGGTCTAAGTCACCTGCCCTGTTAGAGGAGCAAGTGTCAGCTCACATTTCATGGCCAGAAGTCAGCAGTGTGGCCCAGGGCAAGGAAGGCAGCACATTCGGTCTGGGGGAAATACTTTCCACCAATGGCAGGACATAAAGGCCAAGAGAGGACCAGGAAGCAAGGTGCTGTGCTGATGGGAACCACCCCAATGTCTAACAGCTGCTTCCCTGAGCCACCACCTCCTCAATACAGGAACATTTTGGAGGCACCCCATCAGTTGCTCAGAATTGCTCAGACGGAACCAAACTGTTCCAGCTAGAACAGACATGAGCTTAGATGAGTGCAGTCTCCCAGCCACAGGTCCTCCTTGCTCTTATACGTGACCGTGACAATCGTTGACAGTTACAAAGCATCTGCTATGCACTGCTTGCTCTGCTTTACATGTAATTGCACATTTAACTTCTTTTTTTTTTTTAAGACAGTCTCTCTCAGTCACCCAGGCTGGAGTGCAGTGGCATGATCTCGGCTCACTGCAACCTCCGCCTCCCAGATTTGAGCAATTCTCCCAACTCAGCCTCCAGAGTAGCTGGGGCTATAGGCACTTGCCACTACACCCGGCTAATTTTTGTATTTCTAGTAGAGACAGGGTTTCACCACTTTGGCCAGGCTGGTCTCAAACTTCTGACCTCAGGTAATCTGCCCACCTCGGCCTCCCAAAGTACTGGGAGTGAGCCATGAGCCCAGCCTGCACATTTAATTTCTTGGGAACACACAAGAGGCAGGTGTTGTTACCCCCATTCTACAGTTGGGGAAACTGAGGCTCACAAAGTCTCAATTACCCAAAATCACTTAGCTAATTAGTGGGAGCTGGGATCTTACACTGCGTCTACTTGCAAAGCTTGTACTGTTTCAAGCAGACCGCCTGGAAGTAGGGAACTTGCAGTGCTGACTTGCTGAGGCATAAGGTTACCACAACTCTTGCCTATTTAGCTACCATTTGACAAAAAGAAAGAGAGCAGTAGCCCTTGGCACACACTCAAAGGCACAAGTTCAATTCTCCATCTGCTGCGGTATGAATGTGTACCCCCAATAAAAAAGTCCATATGTTAGGCCGGACACAGTGGCTCATGCCTGTAATACCAGCACTTCAGGAGGCCAAGGTGAGCAGATCATGAGGTCAGGAGTTTGAGACCAGAATGGCCAAAATGGTGAAACTCTGTCTCTACTAAAAATACAAAAATTAGCCAGGTGTGGTGGCAGGCACCTGTAATCCCAGCTACTCTGGGGGCTGAGGCAGGAGAATTACTTTAACCCAGGAGGCGAAGGTTGCAGTGAGCTGAGTTCACGCCACTGCACTCCAGCCTGGGTGACAGAGCAAGACTCCATCTCTGAGTGGGGGGAAAGAAAAGTCCATGTGTTAAAATCTTCACCCCCAAGGTGATAGAATTAGGAGGTGCGGCTTTTGGAGAGGGGATTAGGTTCTAAGAGCAGAGCCCCCATGAATGGGATTAGGGCCCATACAAGAGGCCCTAGAGAGCTCCTCTGCCCATTCCACCATGTAAGGACACAGTGAGAAGTTGCCATCTATAAGAAGAAACAAGCCCTTATCAGACACTGGATCTGCTGGCACCCTGATCTTGGACCTCCCAGCCTTGAGAACTGAGAAATAAGTTTCTCTTAGGCAGGGCGTTGGTGGTTCATGCCTGTAATCCCAGAACTTCAGAAGACAGAGGCAGGTGAATCACTTGAGGTCAGGAGTTCGAGACTAGCCTGGCCAATGTGGCGAAACCCCGTCTCTATCAGAAATATAAAAATTAGCCGGGCGTGGTGGTGCACCCCTATAATCCCAGCGACTAGGGAGGCTGAGATGGCAGAATCGCTTGAACCCGGGAGGCGGAGGTTGTGGTACACCGAGATCGTGCCACTACACTCTAGCCTGGAAGACAGAGCAAGACTCCATCTCAAAACAAAAAGAAAAACAAGTTTCTCTTGTTTATAAGCCACCCAGTCTATGGCACTGTATTATAGCAGCCCAAACAAACTAAGACACTGTCCAAGAGAAAGCATAACACCCGGCTCCAAGACTGCAGCACGCTTTAACCACGAGAACGCAGTTTCACCCAGAGAACACCAGGGAAGGCCGCGTGTAAATTCTAAAGATGACATGGAGTTGGGAATAGGCATCACTGGGTAAGGTCCCGCAGCTTCAGAAGGGATTTGGAAACGCCTTATGAGCAGACTCAGAGGCAGGGGGAGGCTGAAGTATGGTCCTCCTAGCTGCACCTTATCAAAACCCAGTGAGTGACCTGCCCAGGTACTGGCTCTGGTGTCCTGGGCTGGGGAATGGGGGTCCACATAACACAGAGGAGGTGGGCACCTTCATGCCCACCCCCACTGCCCAAGTCACCTGACCAGCAAATGGCACAGTGGCAGTTTGAAACCAGATGATCTCCCTGCAAAGCCTGGCTCTCAGGGCCACCTGCACTGTCCCTGCAGACTGGAGCAGGTGTTCCTCAGGCCAATGAGATGGAGAAAGGGCTTCTCAGGCAGGGGAAGAGAAATAAAGTGGGGGGAGCAGGGACACGAGCAAAGTTACAGCTCAAGACACGT